TAGGCTATAGCCTCGATCATCATTACTAAAGTCGGTCAATCTGTTTCACAGAGTATTACGAAAATCTTCTAATATCTCTGTAAAAGATGGCTGCCTTCAACAAATGACGTCATACCACGCGGCGGCAATCATTGGCTCAATGGCGCGTGCATTGTTTACTTAAGACGTTACAGATTCGAGCAGAATGACGTCTTTTACTAATTCTAAAATAGGAAATACTTTATTATAAAATGTTTTAGAATTTAATTTGTCGGAGGAAAAAAGTTAATATTTATGGCTCATTAAGTCGCATCGATGTCATCCTTATCAGTGATTGTCGCAGACTAGCGAATATTCACTGTGGATCAATATGAAAGTCGGTATGATAAAAAAAAAAGCATAGTCTCGATTATCCAATTTTGGATTAAATCATCAATGGGCGTTGAGCAGCAAATTGGATTCAAATCCAGTGCAACTCCCATACATAAGATGGCATTGAGAGTTAATTAAGGTCTTTTCATGTTTATAAATGTCTAATTAATAGTTTATATAACATGTGAGGCATAAAGAAAGACCTGCTCTTGCATAATGTATGTTTAATTAAATTAGGGGGGTTGGATGGCTGAATGGTTAGCGTGCGCGCGCTGTATCATAAAGTCTGTCATTGAGTCGACTGGCGTGGTTTCGAATCCCCGGTTGTACGTGACAAGGAGTAGGGTCGCCTGTCCAACCTCGTGGGTTTTTTCTCCGGGTCCTCCGGTTTCCTCCCACTGCTAAAGACCCCTACGCGCAAGCGAATTATTGAAATAAATATAAACCATATGTTAGTCCCGAAATGACCTAGTTTGTGTCGAGTGGACGTTAAACCCCATTTCTCTCTCTCTCTCTCTCTCTCTCTCTCTCTTTAATTAAATTAACAATCTGAGTACACATTTGGTGTGTAATTAGTCCAGCGAAATTTGATATTTTATCGACAATACAAATGGCGTATCGGAACTTGAAACTAAATAAATTGAAGAAAACTAATCCGGAGGAATTTGATATTTTAGAGAAAATACAAATGGCGTATCGGAACTTGAAACTAAATGAATTGAAGAAAACTAATCCGGAGGAATTTGATATTTTAGAGAAAATACAAATGGCGTATCGGAACTTGAATCTAAATAAATTGAAGAACATTGATATATCTTTATATTATGAGTTGTTTGTTTTTGACTTTTAACTTTCCGTCTTGTCTACAATTTATATTCCGCCATGAGAAACGCGAAAACAACAGCAAGCAAATCATCTAAAGTTTCCATGTTTTCAAATTAAATTTTATATAAAAAAAAATCAGAGAGAAAAAAGCTTTTATATTTCTGAAAGTGATTGAGATTGATTTTGTTAATAATTCCGTTATTTTGTAAGAAACGTAAAACATGTTATTTGACGGTTGCATGCTGATGTAGATTTCAATACAAAAATAATAGTTTCGTCTAAATACAAATGGAAAGCTCTGTCGGTTGCTGTCTAGTTCACACGAGTGAAACGAAAAGTCGGGAAATAATCTATAAATGGAAATGTATTTTTTCTATAATTTTAACTCGTTTATGTTCTTAGTGATAAATTTGTTCACATAGCTACAAACTTGAAATAAAAAGAAAGGGGGAGAGGTAACGTCCACTCGACACAAACTAATATTAAGTCTTCCTTAAAGATGAAATGAAATGTAATGGGGTTTCACGTCCTACATTTCTGGCTTAACTGGGCACGGCTTCATCTCAGAGAAGCACTGCAATTTCTAGAATTTAACATTTCGGGACTAATATTTGGTTTAATTTTATTTCAATAATTCGCTTCTGCATAAGTAGGGGTCTTTAGCAGTGGGGGGAAACCGGGGGACTCTGAAAAAACCCACGAGGTTGGACAGGCGACCCTACTCCTTGTCACGTACAACCGGGAAATGGAAACGGCGCCAGTTGACTCAATGACAGGTCGTATGATACAGCACGTACGTGCTAACCACATTCGGCCATCCACCCCCACCCCCTCCCCTTCATTTATAAACGACCAGCCCCTGAAGTGTAATGACGAATTTAGAATTCAAAGTGTTCATTAGTCATTTACTACAACATTAACATTTATTTTCGTCTACATCAATTTTATGCTGAATTGATCACTTTATAAACATTTTACAATTGATGTGAATTTGAATTATATCTCTCTATTTCCTGTCAAGTATTATGATAATGATCCTAAAATCATCCTACTGGAATCGTTTAAAACCAGATAAAAATTTGTGGCTATGAATAAATAACTTTCATTTTATTTTTCAAAATAAACGGCGAATAAATTAACCCAATTCTGGAAAAGTCATTTACACCTTTTCCACAGACCAATTTGTACTGAATAAATTATCCATGACATTTAGTGATTGTAGTTGAAATACAATTTGATTAAAATACACATCTATATTTCATTTCGTTTTTTTAATACTTTCGATGGCGTACACTACATGAAGATCTGACAAGTTGTACTGGAAGGTCGTGTCAGGGGTCGTACGAGCGGCTTTTGGCCCGATGACGTCAGACACTGATTAATCAATCAGCGTTGACGTTTCTAGTGTTTCACCCACAGTTCCGTGCATAGCACGCCAAGAACTCGTCATAACAGACCGCTTCATTGGCTAATCCCTCACTTCAACCAAAACGCCGGTAATATAACAACTCTTCCAGATGCTAGTGTAGTAAAGAAAAGTAAAACGAAATTTTGAACTATAAAAAATCAGATCGATTTTAGGCGAAAATGTCATCAACTATTACACCTCCGAAAAAAATAACAGTCTAAATTTGCATTTTTCATTTGTAAATATATTAGGCCTTCCGATCGCGTTATAAAGGTAAACAAATCTACGTGTATATATTCTAAAATTAGCACGATGATATGCGCAGTTCGTATTTGCGACCATTGCCTGTATATATGTAAATACTATATTATTTTACGATAAATATGACCTCATTTCTATGTTAATATAGTCATGGTAATACATATATTATAATTTATTTGGTTTCCATTGTATTGTTTATCTTTGTCTATCGATACCAAGAATCTTGGTGGCGTAGTCAAATGAGCCGTTAGGAGAGGTTAGTGTGAACTGCACGGAAGACAACTCTGCCATAGAAGTTGGATTTAACGTACACTCGGCACAAACTAGGTCATTTCGGGACCAACATATGGTTCCATTTTATTTCAAAAATTCACTTGCGCGTAGGGATCTTTAGCAGTGGGAGGAAACCGGAGGACCCGGAGAAAACCCACGAGGTTCGACTGACAATCCTACTCCTTGTCACGTACAACCGGGCAATCGAAACCACGCCAGTTGATTCAATGACAGACCTAACCATGCAGCCACCCAGGCCACCTAGGGTTGTAGAAGAAGGGGGCGAGTGGCTCTTGCAAAGAAAATGAAATAAAGAGTAGAACACAATTTCCCTCATAGTAGGCCTACACGGTATACATGCTTGTCTTCATTGACACTGTCGGTGGAGAAGCGTAGCCAAATTTCATTTCATTTTGTGAACTTTTGACATAAAGATATAAAGTCTTATTGATCTACACACCAACGGTCGAATTCAATTCAATTAAAAGAAAATTATAATAAATATCCATTTCATTTCTATAGCGCCAAAACTCCACAATAAATAGCGCTTGAAATTAAAATATTTTATATTCTGCCTTATTTTATATGAATAAAAAGATGATGACCTTCAACAGAACGGTTTTAATAAACCCAGACTAGAAAAAGGCGGGAATTGGAAGAACGCTGACATTGTGACACGGTGCCATTAATTCTTATAACATGATTCTACAGACAGCTATTTATACCTAAAGGGTTGATGTGATCTCCCATGGGATATCTCCCAAGAACGAAGCTACAGTTCGTCAGAAAAAATCACCGGAAAAAGTATTGAAAAAATTCAAAGATGCGTCACTTTAATGCTGAACTTAAATCGATATCACATGAAATATCTCCGAGTTAATTTCATTTTGTGATAAAGACAAAAACACAACAAAATAGAAAATAAATGAAATGGAGTTTAACGTCCTACTGTTCTGCTCCTAACCTGGGCTAATGAAGACGGGCATACGCTATACAGTGTGCTATGAGGGAAATTTTGCCCGGACAGCGGCACTACGGCCTACTCTTATATCGAATTCCAACTACCAAGAGATCTTTTACGTGCACGCCAATGTGTACACGGGACCTCGGTTTTCCGTCCCATTCGAACGACTAGACAGCTTTCCTTGTCAGAAATGAAATGAAATGAAATGAAATGGAGTTTAACGTCCTACTGTTCTGCTCCTAACCTGGGCTAATGAAGACGGGCATACGCCATACAGTGTGCTATGAGGGAAATTTTGCCCGGACAGCGGCACTACGGCCTACTCTTATATCGAATTCCAACTGCCAAGGGATCTTTTACGTGCATTCCAATGTATACACGGGACCTCGGTTTTTCGTCTCATCCGAAGGACTAGACAGCTATCCTTGTCAGGCCCTCCGTCCTGCATCACTGACAAGGGGGAACCACGCCGGAAAATCTGGATGAACTTTCTCGGCCAATGCAGGGATCGAACACCCGACCTCCAGGCTAGCGAGCTAGCGTCTTACCCACATAGCCACGTGATCCCCAAATAGAAAATAAGAACAAAAAATAACGATGAAGAGAACACCACTTCCTTTAAACACTGGGGTTAACCAATCTGATCAAAATACAGATCTATATTTCGTTTCGTTTTTTTTATACTTTCGATGGCCTATACTACATGAAGATCTGACAAGTTGTATTGGGAGGTCCTGTCAGGGGTGATACGAGCGATTTTTGACCCCATGACGTCAGACATTGATTAATCAATCAGCGTTGACGTTTCTAGGGGTTTACCCACAGTTCCGTGCAGAGCGCACCAAGAACTCGCCTAGCCTCGATTGTCATTACTACCGTTGTTACGATAATAAACAAAGTCTCATTTATCAATTTTAGGGTAACCGCATCGACCACAAAACGTATTTAAATTTACTTATATGGCAGCCATCTGATGGCATTGAGAGTTGATTATGGTCTTGGTAAGTTATTTAATATCAAATTAATCATTTATATAGGATTTAAGGTCTAAAGAAAGACCTGCAATAGGCAGACTTAGCTTTCGTATAATGCATCATCTTTAAGCAAACATGGGTATAATAAAAAAAAAACATGATGAAAAATGGGATGATGGCTTGTACGAAAAACATAGAACATTAAACCCCATTTCATTTAAATTTTATGTATCAAACTTGGCAGTTGATATTCAACAAAGGCTAAGAGGAAAAGCTATTATCCGGCAAATGTCCGGGCAAATTTCCCTCATAGCCATACTGCATGACGAATGCCCGTCTTCATTAGTCCTTTTGGAGCCGAAAAGTAAAGCGTTAATTAAACCCGATTTCATTTCGTTTCATTTCCTCTGCTCTCGCCCACATTCACCCGGATGGAACAGAAAAGTAGGACGTTAAACCCCATTTCATTTCATTTTATATATTAAACTAATATCGCAGCTGCGTTTTCTTACCAGATAAATTGGGTTGAGTAGTCGAATAGTTAACGCATGCGCGTTGCATCATAAGGTCTGTCACTAAGTTAATTGGCGTGGTTTCGATTCCCCGCTTGTACGTGACAAGGAGTAGGGTCGCCTGTCCAACGTGGTGGGTTTTCTCCGGGTCCTCCGGTTTCCTCCCACTGCTAAAGAAACCTACGCACAAGCGAATAAATGAAATAAAAATTGAATCATATATTAGTGCCGAAATGTTAAATTCTTAAAAGAGCAGTGCTTCTCTAAGATGAAGCCGTCTTTATTAGCCCAGTCAAACCAGAAAGGTAGGGCTTTAAACCCCATTTCATTTCATTTCACCTTTAAAGGGACAATAACACTCTGGCTGGCTTGACAGCTCCAGAAAAAAATAGCCTTATTCTAAGTACTAGATGTGTTAGTGTCCCACCTGTTGTGTAAATTATCCATTAAATCCTATTTTACTTGTCCAAAGGGTTCAAAAATATTTTTAAATCCAATTCACATTTGAAAAGCTTTACGTCAGTTAGGTGTGTTAAGATGAAATTTGTATCATCAATTAGTTGGAATATTGTAAAATAGTACAATTTGTTGACCAGAATAAAGATTTGGACATATTATTCAGTTACAACAAGAGTGGTATTGAGCCTTTAAGGAAGACTTAATATTAGAAAACTATATACATGTACTAGCACGGGCGTCTTCACAGTCGTCATAAACAAATCTCTAAGGGCATTGCGAGACGTCCAACTAAATATACCGAGATTTTAAATTATACATTATACGACACCAGTCTACTACGATAACACAGAAAAATCATTACATAGTTCGACTTGAGAAAAATGTATTAATTTTAACATTTTTATTGAAAGTGTTTCTGGTCTGGAAACGGTTTGATGGCTTCTAATGGCGGTTAATGGCCACCAGAGAAGCCATTTTTAAATCAATTTCAAAACGGAAATTGAACAACCTCATCATAAAGTACGGAGGATTTCAAATGGCGTTTCGGTTAGTCGGATATAAATATCTCCAGGTGATGGATTGGCACTTTATTACCGCCCCGACCAATTATTGATCTCGAATTATTGAAAACTAGGTAGGGGGGGTTGGGTGGCCGAATGGTTAGCGTGTGCGCGTTGTATCATAAGGTCTGTCATTGAGTCAACTGGCTTGGTTTCGATTCCGTCGCCCGTCCGACCTTTATTATTGAAATAAAATTGAACCATATGTTAGTCCCGACAGAACCTAGTTTGTGTCAAGTGGACGTTAAACCCCATCCCCCCTCTCTCCCCCTGTCTCTCTCTTTCTCTCTCTCTCTCAATTTCTGTTTACTCCTTTCTGATCTCGTGGCGATCGGTTCTATCCTCTCATGATCTCAAACTTATAATTTAACCCCGAATGCCAACTCAAACCTAAATGATCTCAGACGTTGCCAATCCACCACGTGCTAAGATATATAGGTGGTTTTATAGCGATTAATGTTCCACCGTTTTTGAAACATTTAATCAATTTTGTTCATAAATAAAGAAGTCTTAAAAAATACCGTGTTCATTATTATATTAATATAGTCGACAATGTATGGAATATTCTGACAGGTTTGGGAAGTAAGAGTGATACAATCGTTTAAACATACATTTTTCAAGAACTAAATCTGCCTATTACAGGTCTCTCTTTAGACCTGAAATGTTTAATAAACTAATAATTAGGCATACATTATGCGAGGGCTCAATCTGCCTATTGCACGTCTTTCTTTAGGCCTGAAACGTTTTCTAAATTATTAATTAGACATTAATTAACTTATCCAGGCCATAATCAACTCTCGATGGCATCGGATTTCTCTGATATCAAATAGATTAGAAAAGTTCAGCCATATTTTGATTTAAGCTAAAAATGGAGGAGCGAGACTTAGCTTCGAACAACCAGTACGGTGGTTGAAATTATTACACAGGTCTTGTCAAACCTTCAAAGGCTAATATCTTCTCTCGCAATAGAGTAAATTGAATGAAATTTTCAAATTATTCATTTTACATTATCTATTTTCGAACTATTACAGCAAAAATGGCTAGCTCTTTATCTAAATCTTACATAATATATCTTTAACGTATCCAGACCATAATTAACTCTCGATGGCTTCGGATACTCCAGATGTGTTAACTAGATTAGAACGGTTCGGCATTTAAAAATTAAATTTAAAAATGGGAAATCTAGGCTAAGTCTCGAATATACCAGTGCCCTGGTTACCACAATGAACACATCTTGTCAAAACTTCAAACAGTGATTTGAATGAAAATTTCAACATTTTCATTTTACATTATCTATTTTTGAGCTATTATAGCAGGAATGGTCAGCTCTTTATCTAAATCTTACATAATGTATCTTTAAAGGAGCAAAACCTTTAACTCAGTGAGTTTTGAGAAGTGTTGATTTTAGATATCTTTGAGATTGACAGTGTAGATCGTAGATCATGTTCACTGTATTCTCCTTGAAAACTCATAAGGTGAAAACTGCACGCTTGGGGATAAACGAAACCACTAAGGAGACAGTAATACTATATCCAATATTCGAAATTAAAACCACGAATTAGAATTCAATTTGGGTCCATTGCAATCAATACTGATGTTAGTTTAATGTCCAACCTCGTGGGTTTTCTCCGGGTCCCCCGGTTTCCTCCCACTGCTAAAGACCCCTACGCGCAAGCGAATTATTGAAATAAAATTAAACCATATGTTAGTCCCGAAATGACCTAGTTTGTGTCAAGTGGACGTTAAACCCCATCTCTCTCTCTCTCTCTCTCTCCCTCTCTCTTACAAGATGGGGCTGTAAGATATGTCAAATAGATACCCTCTCTCTCTCGCTTAATGTACGGGTTCCTTATATCAACTATTTAAGACACAATGAACGTTTTAAAATCAGTACACGTGTCGTGTATTCTACAGATATAATGGTTTTGAGCGCCGTTTGTAACAAAAAAAAAGAAAACATACGGAAGAAGACAACGCGAAAGTAATTAAAAAACAATAATAATAATAAAACGTGTAGAATAGACCATACAGGTGGAGCACACGACTGTGTTAAATTAGGAGTGTTTGTGTACTCCACCGAACGTAATTTTTAAAAAAAGGGTGTTAATTTGTATGTGCTTTTAGATCCATTTTTGTCTATTTTAAGGGTCCAGAGATTACAATCTGATTAAAGCATTTTCGTTTTTTGTTCATATTTTAGTTGGAAGAGTTGTTATATATAACCCGCGCTTTGGTTGATGTGAGGGATTATCCAATGAAATGGCTTATTGCAGCAAGTTCTTGGCGTGTGGTGTACGGAACTGTGTGTATCCCATGCAAATGTCTGACGTCATAGAGTCAAACGCCGCTCGTATGACCCCTGAAGCGACCTTCCACTACAACCGGTCAGTTATTCATGTAGTGCACCGTCAAAAGTATAAAAAACCGAAACGAAATAGATCTGTATTTTAATTATAAAGCCGGAGAATTGTCTCGTTGACCAACACCCAGAACTCCTGTTTAGGGAGTCAGCGTCTGACTAAACCAAAATGGTTCCAATTCATGTAGTTCTTGTAACCAAACGGGCTGCACTATTCTGACAACGTCACTCTGATTTAATAAATATTCATGAATACCGGTTAAACGCTTATTTGCATAATCCTAGCTGAGAAATAATTATTGTTCTGACATGTTATGACTAATAATAAATACATAGAGTGGTCGTTTATTAGTACTAAAGAAAATAAATGACAGCCCACCAGCGTAGATTATTTAACGGTTTGAGCTAGAGTAGGTCTCATCACGCAACGATTATCCAGTTACATATCTAAACGGGGGAGTTATTCCCCGGTTGTACGTGACAAGGAGTAGGGTCGCCTTTCCAACCTCGTGGGTTTTCTCCGGGTCCTCCGGTTTCCTCCCACTGCTAAAAAAAAAACCTACGCGCAAGCAAATTTTGAAATAAAATTGAACCATATGTTAGTTCCGAAATGACCTAGTTTGTGTTGAGTTGACGTTAAACTCCATTTCTCTCTCTCCCTCTCTATCTCTCTCTTTTAACGGGAGGGGGGTCGAATGGCTGAATGGTTAGCGTGCGCGCGCTGTATCATAAAGTCTGTCATTGAGTCAACTGGCGTGGTTTCGAATCCCCGGTTGTACGTGGCAAGGAGTAGGGTCGCCTGTCCAACCTCGTGGGTTTTCTCCGGGTCCTCCGGTTTCCTCCCACTGCTAAAGACCCCTACGCGCAAGCGAATTATTGAAATAAAATTGAACCATATGTTAGTTCCGAAATGACCTAGTTTGTCTCTCTCTCTCTCTCTTTTAACGGGAGAGCCACGGTGGCTAGGTGAGTAGGGGTCCCGTGTTCGATCTTTGCATTGGTCCAGCAACTTCATCTGTCAGGACGCAGGGCCTGGTAAGCGACAATGTATAGACGTTCGGATGGGATGAACTACTGAGGTCAGGTGGACATATTACTCCCACTGCCAACGACCCCTTCGCTAAATAAATTCCTTGAAATAAAATTTAACCATGTTGGTCTCGATATAGTTTAGATTGTGTCTAGTGGACGTTAAGCATCCCTCTCCGCTGGATTTCCGCTGGGTTTGAATCCGATTTGCTGCTCAACGCTCATTGATGATTTAATCCAAAAATGGATAATCGAGAATATGCTTTTTTATCATACCGAATTTAGTAATGATGATCGAGGCTAGGCCTATAATTCAAACGCTAATGTCTCGGTTCAGAGTTGAGCAGTTGGACGTTAACCCCCCCCCCCTCTCTCTCTCCCTCTCTCTCTCTCTCATTATATTGATTATGAACGTTCAATATTCTGTTAATATTGCTATTAATTATAGTCATCTATTGAATAATTCATATATACACCCATTACTTAGATAAATATCTCTATATTTCACTTGTAACAGTCCACGTGGTATATACGACGTAGATATTTATTGTATATAATTTGACGTTTATATTCATAATTACACGCGCGTCGTATAATTGTGCTTTGACAACCGGGCGAATATATGAGATCGTGTGTTCTAATTTGTGTACTTTCGAAATGCAATAGGGTTTAATGACCTTCTGTTCTACTCCATCCGCGGGCACACGCCGTACAGTGTGCTACGGCTACTGAAGACGGGCGCACGCTATGCAGTGTGCTACGGGCTACTGAAGACGGGCACGCACCATGCAGTGTGCTATGGGCTACTGAAGACGGGCACACCCAATGGAGTGTGCTACTGGAGACGGACACACAACATGCAGTGTGCTACGGGCTACTGAAGACGGGCACACACCATCGAGTGTGCTACGGGCTACTGAAGACGGGCACACACCATCGAGTGTGCTACTGCTAACTCTTTATTCGGATTCCACTAGTCAAGAGGTGATGTTTGATAGCACGTTTTCCGGCGTGGTTTCCCCTTGTCAGTGATGCAGGACGGAGGGTCTGACAAGGACAGCTGTCTAGTTGTTCGGATGGGACGAAAAACCGAGGTCCCATGTACACATTGGCGTGCACGTAAAAGATCCCTTGGCTGTTGGAATTCGATATAAAAGTAGGCCGTAGTGCCGCTGCCCGGGCAAAATTCCTCTCATAGCACACTGTATGGCGTATGCCCGTCTTCATTAGCCCAGTTTAGGGGCAAAACAGTAGGACGTTAAACCCCATTTCATTTCATGGATAGCACGTGCGCGTTGTATCATAAAGTCCCGGCTGTATACGTGACAAGGAGTAGGGTCTCCTGTTCAACCTCTTGGCTTTTCTCCGGTTTCCTCCCACTGCTAAATACCCCTACGCGCAAACGAATTATTGAAATGAAATTGAACCATATATGTTAGTCCCGAAATGACCTAGTTTGTGTCGAGTGGACGTTCAACCTTATCACTCCTTGATACACCATATACCCCCCTATGTGTCTGGCATGTCTAATAATATCGGTTAGTATGTCGCGAATTATATCATATTATATATCTGGTAGGGTAATTGAGTCAGTAAGCGACAGTAAATCATGGGCTATTATTTGATTTGATCATTTGATGGTAACTAACGAGTCCTCGTTGGCTACTTTAACTAACTTACAGCTCTGTTTTCATATCAATTATACCACTTTTTACAGAGTACTGTGGATTGATTGATTCATACTAGTTATATATACATCGAGACCGTAGACTTAGCCGGAAATAACGAGAACTAATATAGCTAGCTATTCGTGGTATAAGTAACTTATAGTATTTGTATGTGTCACATTATTACTAACTGTCCTAGAAATGGCGGGAATATATGTATAGGATGGACTCTTGGGGTAGCTTTAGTTTTGGGTAAGTAGCCTACAGTATTTGACCAAGTGACAGGACCCACTAAAAGGCGTGAAGGGGGGGGGGGGTGGAGGCGATAAATGGTGTTTACTAGAATATATATACTGATGTTCTTAGCTGTAAATGTACAGATTTAGCGTTTTGCAGTCTCACCAATTTATCAAAAAACACAAGACTAAGATTTCAAATATGTATAGGATGGACTCTTGGGGTAGCTTTAGTTTTGGGTAAGTAGCCTACAGTATTTGACCCACTAAAAGGCGTGAAGGGGGGGGGGAGGTCGGAGGCGATAAATGGTGTTTACTAGAATATATACTGATGTTCTTAGCTGTAAATGTACAGATTTAGCGTTTTGCAGTCTCACCAATTTATCAAAAAACACAAGACTAAGATTTCAAATCGGGTGTCCAAAGAAAAGGATTTATGCGATGTTCTTTTCTAACTGTGCTGTGCGTGTATAATTTATATTTGAATATGTACGCATTGGGATATACATAATAGGTCCCTTGGCAGTTGGAATTCGATATAAGAGTATGCCATGGTGCTGCTGCCCGGGTAAAATTTCCCTCATAGCACACTGTTATAGCCTATGCCCGTCTTCATTAGCCCAATCGGAGCAGAACAGTAGGACGTTAAACCCCATTTCATTTCATTTTTATTTTTATACTTGAATATCTATTTGACAGATCTTAAAGGAGCTAAGTCGCTAATATTTGGGATCTAGAAATAGACACAAATTGGTCTCAACGTATACAATAATTTAATATGAATGTATATAATCTGATTTACATTCAATCGTTTCTGTTTTTACTGCAATTTCTAATCAGTTATGTTCGCCGAAATACCCCAGAAGTCTCAATCCAATGGCAATCTGTAGCGTCTGGTTATTCCACTCTATACCGATGGTATTTATTGCGCATGCTCTCCAGATAAGAATATGACGTCACCGTTTGACATGACTTGTGGAATATATCTAGCCTCTTTCTACGAGTCCCTTGTTAAAAATGGCTCTGAAATGCACCATGGTACACGATTCGTGTACCAACGGTAAAATGTTTATTTTGTCTTAATTATTGGATATCAGAAGCCCATCTTTTAATCGTAAGATCACAACATCAATGTTGATTTAAATTGACAAATAATTCGTGTTTTCATTGTCTAAGATTTTGGATACGGCCTACTCTTATATCGAATTCCAACTGCCAAGGGATCTTTAACGTGCACGCCAATGTGTACACGGGACCTCGGTTTTTCGTCCCATCCGAACGACTAGACAGCTGTCCTTGTCAGGCCCTCTGTCCTGCATCACTGACAAGGGTAAACCACGCCTGAAAATCTGGATGAACTTCGGAGACCAAAAGTTGTTATATGAGACTGTAAGAGGATACCTGACAATTCAATAAAGTAATTGAATGTCATTAAATAAGAGAACACGAGAAAAATAGAAATAGTCCGTACATTCCCTTGTTTATATTCATTCTATACCTTATAAAAACATGGTAATGCACGGACTTTTTCTGTTTTTCTTTCGTGTTCACTTATCTAGTGACAGTCAATTCTTTTTATGAATTGTCAGATATCCTCTCACAGTCTCACACAACAACTTTTGGTCTTCGAAGCAATTATTAGTGAGCAGAAATTCGCCCGTATATCCGTTATCATTCGTCACATCAGTCAGTTATATAGAGAGGTGACTCATGTTTTCCTTTGGCGTTCGTCACTTCCGATTCAGAAAAACTGAATTACTCAGCTATCGTAACAATGATCTCTGAGATAAAATTATATTTGGAATGTGTTTAACCAGCTCTATCACAAATGTGATAATGACTGGCACCAATATTGTCCTATCGTAGCAATGATCTCTGTGTTAAAATTATATTTGGAATGTGTTTAACCAGCTCTATCACATATGTGATAATGACTGGCACCAATATTGTCCTTTAATACTTTTGCCTCTGTCTCTTCTAGGTTACACAGATGAAGTATGAAGAGTCGCCATCTTGTACTCAGGCTAGAAACAAAGTCGATGTCATTCTTAGGATGAACGAATTGCCCAGCAGACACACGAACGCTGTTTCCCTTATAGCAGAATTAGGTTCTGAGAGCAGTGCTCATGGATTAGCCCGGATTGTGTCTTCCAAGGGAACCAAACGACGCCTTATTTGGACCTTGCTTGTGATCATCGGTCTTGCCGCTGCTACGGTTCAATTCTCCATGCTGGTCAAAAAATATCTACAATTCCAAGTTGTGGAGGTGTCCGAGGTGAAAGATAGTATGCCAGTCGAGTTTCCTGCGATAACAGTTTGTAATATTGAACCGATTTCCTTAAGAAAAGTGAGAAAGTTATTATCTTTACCGGACGCAGCTTTAAAAAAGTGGTTGGAATTTGTGTATAAGTTTAAATTCGGAAAACAATCGGCTCACCTTTCGTCGATACGAGCCTTTTACGAAAATTTGGGAGATGAAGCCGAATATGTGAGACACGAACTGAAAGATTTCATGCTTCATTGCCGATTTAACAAAGAAACGTGTGGGGGTTCGAATTTCACGACGTCATTTGACGGGAATTACTACAGTTGTTTTACGTTTAACCGAGGGAATTCCGACAAAATATTGATGCACTCCACGGGTCCTGAAAATGGCCTCTCGTTAATCATCGCTGTGGACAATGACAATCCGCCATTGGGAACATACGGTGTGTACAACATACATTCTAATATTTTACACAGTGCTGGTGTGAGGGTAGTAGTGCATGCCCCCAACACCATGCCCAGTCCCGTCAATCACGGGTTTGACGTTCCGCCCGGTTATTCGTCTTCCATTGGCCTTAAGGCCGTGCTTCACACCCGTCTGTCCGAACCTTATGGCAATTGTTCAAACTCCATTTTGGAAGGTTCTGAAAATTACAACAATACCTTTTTTACGTGTCTTCAGCTGTGTAAACAAAGAAAAATTATTGAAAAATGCGGATGCAAATCGTCTGATCTACCGGAACTACCCTCGTCCCACTCCGTGCCATTTTGTGGTTACATTAAAAACTGGCGGGAAATGGTGGCTCATCCGGATAACTATCCACCGAATGTTTATTTGCCAAAACTTATTTGTGAAGAACACGTCAGTCACGAAATGACCACGGATAGAAGTTACGAAGTTTCTTGTAAATGTGTCCAGCCTTGTCACGAAACGACTTTTCAGAAATCCGTTTCGCTGTCGTATTGGCCTTTAGAATTTTATCAACTGAATATTCTTCAGTTATTGTATAATGGCACAATCGCCCAAAGCCAACTCGACGAAGCCTATACGTACCTGTCGAACATTACCGACGAAGAATCCCAAAAGGAGGATAGTACGATGGACAAAGGCTATTCCTCGAAGGAGAAAGAACAAGCCGAGCGGGCTTCCAAATTAATCCGGCAAAATCTGTTGCGTGTGAACATTTATTTAGAAGACTTGAGCGTGGTAGAATTCCGCCAAATGCCGGCATACGATATGGCGGATTTGTTTGCGGATATTGGGGGTACAATGGGATTATGGATGGGGATATCAGTGTTGACTATTATGGAACTTGTTGAGTTAATTATACGTTTAATTATGTTGCTATTTTATACCGAAACTCGCCAAATGCCCGAAAAAACAACTTTACCAAATGGTGTGATACAACAGCAGCAGGCCGAGAGAAGACAATTTATACGTCATGATGGTTTGGAGTCGTCGGTGTGAATGAATGATCGAATGAATGAATGAATGAATGAATGATCGAATGAATGAATGAATGATCGAATGACTGAATGAATGAATAAAAAATACGATATAATAAGTGTGAATTTGCACTTATCGAATGAACAACTGAGTGAATAGTTTTTTTTAGGTTTTAATATTTAATAATGTCCTAGCATGCATTGTATTATTAGTTTGTAAAAGAAATATTTAAAAATTCGAAAAATCAAAATAGCAGACGTCAAACTGTCTATGACCCTCACGATATACTAATATTCAGTTGGGTGGGTCTTTTTTTTCAATCGGTCGGCGAGGGCGGATATTTCCACACGTTCAGTTAAGAAGCTTTAGGTTAAGCTACCAACAGGGTGATAAATGAATTTTCAATATGGAAATAGTCCACTTCCACTGGAAAATAAAAAACCCTCGTTACCGGCTTCTTGGAGATTTCTTCGTGTACAGTTTGAGACAAACACATTCTAAAGTGGTCTTGTTCCAAAACAAATAAGATATCTGTAGTTATAACTTCCATTGTATATAACTAGTTTGGTGTGCGAATTATGTGTTTGTGTGTGTGTGTGCTTTATTCATTTTATATAAATTTAGTTGCGTCGCTGAATTCAACGGGTGACGTCATAAACAAATTACCAAAAACTAGTACAAGTAATAATATTGTGTTCGAATTAAAATATGTGACTTTCTACAATTATATTACATAGAAGACCCTTAACACGTGCATTACAAAAAGGCATTTCTATAGTGAAACTTGCTGTAGCTTACTGAGAGGACGACGTTCCCGTGTAACCATTTCAAGGGTGTGGGGGTGTGAGGCGGGGTGTAATTAAAGAAGGAAAATAAATTATGTTTTTTGTTGTACGAGCTATCCTATTTAGTATGAATACAATGTTATTTCATGTAATTTAAAATGTCTTCCCCTCTCAGGAGCCACGCTGACTGGCTAGTCTGGAGGTCGCGGGTTCTTTCCCGGTGTTCATCGGGTTTTTTCCGTCGTGCTTTACTCTTGTCAGTGGTGCAGGACGGAGGGCTTAACCGGGACACCTGTCTAGTTGTTAGGATAGGACAAAAAACCGAGGTCCCGTTTATACATTGGTGTGCACGTAAATGATCCCTTGGCAGTTAGAATTTGATATAGGAGTAGGCTGTAGCGCCGCTGTCCGGGAAAAATTTCCCCTATGCACACTGTATGACATATGCCCAGTCGGTGCAGAACAGTAGAACGTTATAATAACCATTTCATTTCTTCCTTTCTCCCATTTCTGAGTAGTGGGTCCTATATATTTGGTCTTGGGAAGCAGACGACAATCAAAGAGTTAACCACGGGCACTATCAAACTTCTGCACGTCACTGAGTGAAAGTGAGAGCGATAGAAATAATGTAAAACTATGGCTAAATGTGTGTATATTTTCATACCATGTGTGTAGATTGTGTATTATAAAGTATTTATAAACCATGCAATAAAATATTAACTAATATCTTTGTGTATTGACAGCACAAAATCTACTGGGTTTAAAAGGCAATCCCAACTTTGACGAAATGAAAGAGGGTTTATATATCCTACCTGGATAATGAAGACAGGCATTGCGTATTTCATTCAGAGTGTCACGTCAATCCACGTGACTCGACCAATTGCTCGCTATTCCTGTGTACGTCATTGCCTACATTTTCTCATTTGCACGTCGGTACCCATTTTCTTACCGGTTGCATTTTCTGACTGTACAAGCAATCCCCCAGTATATAGGAAATTCCCAATTTGTCCCACAGGACACACAATTCTTAATTTGTCTCTCTCAGTAGACACGATTCTTTCAAGTACAATTGTCTCCAAGTACACACAATTCCGCTCATGCACAATTGCTATTTGTCTCACAGAACACACTATCCCCCCCCCCCCTTTGTATCACAGATCACGCTATTCCCATTTGTTTCACAAAACTCACTCCCCCCACCCCCTTATCTCACAGAACACGCCATTCCCCCTTTGTCTCACAGAACATAATATTCCGCTTTTGTCTCAAATTTTCACCTCATTGTAATAAACATCTAAAAAAGTAAATAACGATATTTTTTTTTTTTTAGCAAAAAATCTTTTATAGCATAAAATAGGAAGCAAAAATATGAAGAGCGTGCTTTATATAATAGTAAATAAATAGAATTATATATATATAAAGGGATATGAATATTATGCATATGTATAATAATTAAATATAGAAAATGATGCCGGACTTTGTTCAATAATCACCGATATATTCGATTTAAAATTGAATCGTTAATATCTCTGTTGAGAGTGAAGCAATTTGGATGAAATGTTCAGCATTTTCTGTTTTCATTATCTATTTGTTAACTATTATAGCAGGAACTGCCAGCTCTTTATCTAATCTTACCTAATGCCCCTTTAAGTTCTATGTTAAGTTTACCACCAGGGTTAGCCAACCTTTTATATTCGATTTCCAAACTATTATTGTACTAGGACACTTGATATGTCATATTACTTGAACAGATAAATTTAAAGGTACATTTTGTAAGATTAAGATAAAGAGCTGGTCGTTCTTGTTATAATAGTTAAAAAACAACGTAAGATTTAGATAAAGAGCCGACTGTTCTTGTTATAATAGTTCAACAATACATTACGTAAGATTTAGATAAAGAGCTGGACGTTCTTGCTATAATGGTTCAAAAATAAATAATGGAAAATTCAGTTATGAGTGTTAGAAATTGTAGGGTAGAGTGTTTATTATCGTAGTAACGATACTGGACAAACAAGATTATGTCCCGCTTATCCAGTTTATTATTAATTTTTTAAATCTGATTGGCGTTCTAATCCATTTAAATCTCTGCCATCCGATCGTCTGGAGAGTTGATTATGTACTCATATACCGTTTGAAGAAACAAAGACAGACCTGCAATGAGTGCAACAGGCAGATTTAGCACTTTTAGAGTAGGAATTAGAAAGGTAAAATAAATAATTCTATTTCCCCGGTAACCACTACAACCCAGCACACGCAACCTCAATCCCTACATAATCTTAAATACCCCCCAGATTCACAAAACCTCATATATTCTACTAGTTGATTAACAACCAAATTTACCACAATTATATGATAATAAGCAATAATTAATGAACTATGAATAAATGAATATATTTAGTATAAATATAAATAAGAAAAGACAGAATACATAGACAGAAAGGCTTATCAGGCCTTCTAATACTAAAAGGGGCACCTGTCACTGATTTCAGTCAGGCACAGTCAGTAGTATACGGGTCCCAATTCTATGGAATCCTTATATGGCATTTAGTAATTGAATATATAATATTAAAACACATTTTATATAGAAAACAATCACTGAGTTTATATTTCACACTACGTTTCAACAAGTTCCTCTTGCCGTTCTCAAGTAAGTAATGACAGTATGATAGCAAGGGGAACTTATTGAAACCTTAGTGTGAAACAAGCCAACAGTGAGGCTGATGTCCCCCGCTGAAATCCCGAAATAAATAGATGACATATATTAATTAATTGCATGTTTATCTTTTTCAAAAGTATCCAGCAATCAAACTGATTATTAAGTATACATTAAGTTTCATCACTCTCTATCAGATAGAATCAAAATAAACAAGGCATTGACCTAATAAACACATACACCAAGTTTGAACATTCTAGCTCAATTAAAAGTTATCGTGTCCCAAAGCATCAACCAATCAAATTGCTTATCTCTGCTTACCCTAAGCGGAAAATGCTCATCTTCGAACTCCATCAAGGCATTGACCTAATCAACACATACACCAAGTTTGAACATTCTAGCTCAATTAGGAAGAGAGTTATTGTGTCCCAAAAAGTGTGACGGACAGACAGACAGACAGACGGACGAACCCATTTTAATAGTCTCCTGCTTTCTTCGAAAGGCGGGGGACAATAAACTCAGTGAGAGTGAGAGAGAGAGTGCGAAATGGGGTTAAACGTCCACTCGACACAGACTAGGTCATTTCGGGACTAACATATGGTTTTAATTTTATTTCAATAATTTGCTTGCGCGTAAGGGTCTTTAGCAGTGGGAGGAAACCGGAGGACCCAGAGAAAACCCACGATGTTGGACAGGTGACCCTACTCCTTGTCACATACAACCGGGGATTCGAAACCACACCAGTTGACTCAATGACAGGTTTTATGATACAGCACGCACGTGCTAACCATGCTAACCATTCGGCCATCCAACCCCCCTTAACTCAGTGATTGTTTTCCATATAAATTGTGTTTTAATATTCTATGGAATACAATTACTGCTTATTATTGAGCAAGTTTCGACTAGGCTTCTCTAGTCATTATCAAGCAATGATAGAATATAAAATATAACGAGACAATTAATATACATGAAACAAAACAACATCTGGTTAATGCTGATTTTGTTGATACGTGTCCAGCACAAGATAAAAACTGTCAGGCCCTGAGTTGAAAAAGTATTCACAATCTTGGTATCTCCCGTGGCCTCACTCAGTTCTACTCCACTATACCCTGGGTTCATCGGTGGGGTATTCACATATTCAAATTAGAGAAAAGTGACAGATCAAAGCAGTCCAAGATTCTGTTCCTTAGACCGCCTCAAACCACCCTATGAATTGCTTTCTGTATTAAAGGGCCATTTACTAGTATGTGTAGGGGTGGTTTCGGGGCTCTAGTTAGGGCAGCTTGGGGTTGTCGAAGGAAATCTAGTTAAGGCAGCTTGGGGCGGTCAGAGGAATTCTATTTAGGGCATTTTGGGTCGATCGAAGGAATTCTATTTAGGGCAGTTTGGGGTGGTCGAAGGAATTCTAGTTACAGCAGCTTGGGGCAGTCGAAGGAATTCTAGTTAGGGCATTTTGGGTGGTCTATGGAATTCTAGTTAGGATAGCTTGGGGCGGTCGAAGGAACTCTAACTAGGGCATTTTGAAGCTTTCTAAGGAATTCTAGATAGGGTGATCTGGGGTCGTGTAAGGAACTCTAGTTACAGTGATTTGTAATCTTAAATATAACAATAAATACCAGGGAATACCTGATTGAACATTCTGGAATTGAATTCTCTAAATCTCAAAAATAGTGACAATTGATTGAAAAGTTGGATTTTTGAGCTACAAGACACACACTGACTGCATAAGAAAATATATACTGACCAACCAGGACAGCTGAAACATATTCATTAGGTTTAATTACCTTACGTTCTATTCACACCACCTCTGTTGTCAGGGCTAACAGAACTGTGGTAGGACTGAATTCCACACCACTCGATTAGAATTGTGTCAATTCAGGACGTTCCGGACTGACAATCGAACATTCCCCTATTTATTCAATCAAGGGAGATAATGCTTTTAATTCACAGCATACACCAATGTAAATTTAAATATAAATATAACAAAGAATTGATAGATAAGAATAATAATTGGTCCATAATATTTCCATAAAGATGCATAATGTAAGAGTTAGATAAAAAGCTGGCCATTCTTGCTATAATAGTTCAAAAATAGATAATGACAATTCCATTCAAATTACCTTATTCTGAGCAAAGTTTATCTGGTTTCAGTCAGCAGATACAATTAAATTTGTATTAATTTCCATCTAAATAAGACTTTAATATATATAAAAATAGAGAGAGAGAGAGAGAGTTTAACTCGACACAAACTAGGTCATTTCGGGACTTACATATGGTTCAATTTTATTTCAATAATTTGCTTGCACATAGGGGTCTTTACTAGTGGTAGGAAACCAGAGGACCAGGAGAAAACCCACGAGGTTGGACAGGTGACTCTATTCCTTGTCACATAAAACTACCGGGGAATCGAAACAATGAAACAATGCCAGTCGACTCAATGACAGACCTTATGATACAGTGCACACGCGCTAACCATTCGGCCATCCAAACCACCATAATAATATAAGATTTGAAGTCAGAATAAAGACCTACAACAGGTAAATTTCGCTCTCACATAATGCATCTTTAAAGAACATATATTTTATTCTATAACTACAGGCAAATATCATTAAATACAGCCATTGAATACAGCCAATGAATAACCTATGGTTGTATTCAATGGCTTGGACACGTACTACTTTTGTCCAGAATGACATCACTTTCAGAATTACGTCAAATTATAATGACGTCATCACTAAGCAACCACAATTTTTGCAAAAAAGAAAGAAAAAAGGGCAGAACCTATGATGAATTTGTTATTGGTGATGAGTTTTTTAGGTTTTTTGTTGTTGATAATCTGGATAGTAGAGTGTATTTTCAGAATTGCATGTAGTTATAGAATAAAAACAATGACCACTGAATACCACTGGGGTTATTCAATGGTTCAAGAGAGTGTATTCCTGTGCAAGTATTCCACAAGCGATTTATTGTCTTTGGTTTTAAATTCAATATATAATATATATGTAACCTGTTTTTGCAGGCATGTTGGGACTTTAAGCCATTACAATTTTAGATCCATATCCTGACAGACCTGTTTAGCACAAACGAGGAAATGTTCCATATCTTGAGGAAATAAATGACCTATATTACCAATTCTAAAACAGTCTGTATTTAACACTTTACCAGGATATATCACTTGATCTGAAATAAAACATAAAACAATATTTAAAATAAAGATGCATCAATGTGAAATGTTCACTGAACAGGAAGAGAGAAGAGAGAAATGGGGTTTAACGTCCACTCGACACAAACTATGTCATTTCAGCACTAACACGTGGTTCAATTTTATTTCAATAATTCGCTTGCGCGTAGGGGTCCTTAGCAGTGGGAGGAAACTGGAGGACCCGGAGAAAACCCACGAGGTTGGATAGGTGAAATTACTGAACAAAACTCAACCATATGATATCCTTCTATATAAACGGGGAGCCACAGTGGCTCAGTGAGTAGGATGTTGGCTCGCTAGCCTGGAGGTTCTGTGTTCAATCCATGTGTTAGCCGAGAAAGATCACTGGGATTTTTCTGTGTGGTTACCCCTTTTGAGTGGTGGCAAGACCGAGGGCATGGCAAGGGACAATGTATAGTCCTTTGGATGGAACAAAAAAACATGGTCCCATGTACACACTGGCATGCACGTAAAACACCCCTTGACATTTGGAATTCGAAATAAGGGTAGGTCATAGTGCCACTGTCCAGGCAAAATTTCCCTCATACACACTGCATGAAGTATGCCCGTCTTCATTATCCCAGTAGGAGCAGAACAGTAGGAAGTTAAACCCCGTTTCATTTCATTTCCTTTTTAAAGATTCAACTTCCTCAATATTACAGTTATCAAGCGATCCAAAACCCAGAAATGACCATCAGGGGGTTTCAAATATTTTATTTTATTTTGTATATCCCCCACTTCCACTCCGTTTACTCACCTTTATCATTGATCCTTGATAAAGATTCAACTTCCACAATATTATAGTTATCAAGGGATTCAAAACCCAGAAATGACCATCAGCTTGTTTCAAATACTTTATTTTATTTTGTATATCCCCCGCTTCCCCTCCGTTTACTCACCTTTATCATTGAGCCTTGAATAAAATTGTTGAAAGTTAAAGTTGGGATGATCAGGAAATAGAAATGATGTAATTATATAACCAGATATATCGTCATCTAATAATTCTTTAAAACCTAATTCTTTCATTCCCCTTTTAATTATACTTCTATTCTTCTGGTACCTGTCCAAATAAATCACAGGTGTTATGCTCGGTTGCCATTATCACGATTCGCGCCATGATTGAAATCATGGTTTTAATCGTGGAGTAATCGTGTTGATCGTATCCAAATGTATCTGCACGTACAACATCTGAGCTCAATAGGGACAATCCTATCTATTGAGGTCAGTCATAGCAATCGTGTTTATCACATCGAAAGTTGAAACGCATCCGAATGTACCTGCACCTACCAGATCGTGAACTCAATAGGGAAAGTCCTATCGTAGCTCATCGCACGACAGTTGTAACCTAAATTAAAGGCACTAAACCTTTCAATCAATATTGTCCATAAAATTAGAAATGAAAAACATGAATTAAAATTCACTATTGATCCAGTTCAATCGAATATTGATTTTGTTATCTTGCCATGAAAATATGGGATCCTAATATCCAATATTTAAGACACAATGAACATCTTATAATCTGACCATGAGTCGTATATTCTATGGTTTGGGTCGCCATTTGTAATGAAAAAGAAATACGTATCTAATATTCACCTATTGGCTCTCCCAGTGACTCCTCCCTCTTCTTCTAATTCAAGTAAAGCTTGTTTAAATGCCAACATGGAATGAGTAGCGGGTGTAAAACGGAACTGCCCAGTCTTATCCAGAGTTTCACATTGATCCACCAAATCTAAACTTAAACTTCGTGAATTTCCTGAAATAAGACGATTTACCACATTTCATATCTCGCTTTTACGAATGGATGTAGAGGACACACCCACTAAAAAGTAAAAACCAAGTTGTTTCATCCGACACTATCTATAACACTTGCAGACAAAACATGTCTTAATAAGCTATCTCCACCAAAGAACCCACCAAAGAAGTAAGGTCACTTGTAAGTTTTAAAATGGGTTTTTGGTTTCTAGTTACGCGCCTGCACAAAGATGAGTCTCTTTTCTTTGTCCTATCTACACAACTACGCATTTTCTTTGACGTCTAAATCCTAGGTAGACTGAGCTTGTAACTATGTACTAACTAGTTTTTGCAGGTGAAATGAAATGGGGTTTAACGTCCTGCTGTTCTGCTCCGACTGGGCTAATGAAGAGAAATGGGGTTTAACATCCACTTGACACAAACTAGAGATGACACAAACTAGGTACTTTCGGGACTAACATATGGTTCAATAACATATGGTTTAACATCCACTTGACACAAACTAGAGATACGACCCTACTCCGTGTCACAAACTAGACAGGCGACCCTACTCCTTGTCACATATAACCGGGGAATCAAAATCACACCAGTTGACTTAATGACAGACCTTATGATACAGCGCGCACATGCTAACCATTCGGTCATCCAACCCCCGTCGCATTCAATGATCAAAGCTAGGTATAAGATTTAGAACTCCATTCATTACAATTCCATGTAAATGTACTGACCTTTACATTGAGACAGTTTATCTTTTTTTGCTATGGCGAAGGAAAAGCCTGGCGTTCCCTGAATACATTTATTAGCAGAACTGACTAGATAATCAACATTGGCTTTTTTAAAATCCAGAGGTACAGCTCCAAAACTACTCATACCATCCACAAAATAACTACTATCTAAAAAACATAGAAAATATAAAAAACGTAGTAAATGAATATTCATAACAATAAACTACTCATACCATTCACAAAATAAATACTATCTATAAAACATAGAGAATATAAAAAATGTATTAAAGATACATTATGGGAGATTCGGTAACGAGTTGGCAGTTCTCACTATAATAGTTAAAAACTAGATAATGTAAAGGCAATTTGGTGAAAATTTCATTCAAATTGATCCACTATGAACCGAGAACTAAGCGACTGAACTTCCCATAAGCCTTGGTCATCATTACTAAAGTCAGTACAATAAACAGCATAGTCTCGATTATCCATTTAATCGTTTAATCGAGAAGGAAAGTTATGCAGTAAATCGGCTTACAATCCACTAAAGATCGCAATCTAGCGCTGCCATCTAGAGTTGATTATGGCCTGGATAGGTTAATTAATGTCTAATTAATAATTTAGATAACATTTCAGGCCTAAAGAAAGACCTGAAATAGGCAGATTTAGCTCTTGCATAATGTATGTTTAAATGAATATTCACAATGATAAACTACTCATAACATCCACAAAATAACTACTATCTAGAAAAATAGAAAACATAATAATTTATTCAGTGAATATTCACAATGATAAATGAATACTCATAATGATCAAATGAATACTCACAATGATAAATGAATATTCACAATGATAAATGAATATTCATAATGACAAATGAATATTCATGATGATAAATAAATTTTCATAATGATCAAATGTGTCCAGTTTAAAACTTACAGATTAATTTTGATAATGAGTGGCCGATTTACAAGTGTTTAATTTCTCGATCATTGTTAAAAAATAAACAACCCAATTGATTATTGAAGTATAATGATTAATTTTTGAACAGTGGTCGGGATATTAAATGCTGTTTAATTTGACACTTGTTATCAAAATTAATGGGTCAGCTCTAAGCTGGACACAAGTACAAATAGATGATTTGGGTTTATTTTAGACGAATTTTCAAATTTTCAAACAAAGATTTGATATTGAATGAATGGCAAAGAAATCAGAGTTAAAAACACTAGGTCATTTTGGGACCAACATTTGGTTCGATTTGATTTCAATAATTCACTTGCACGTAGGGGTCTTTAGCAGTGGGAGGACCCAGAGAAAACCCATGTGGTTGGACAGGCCAACTAACTGCTTGTCACGTACAACCGGGGAATCAAAACCACGCCACTAAACTCGATGACTGACCATCTCATCCAACGTGCACACTATAACCATTCGCCCCCCACCCCCTCCACTTACAAATACAAAGATACCTGTAAAGGTATAAATTTAGGTCAACAAAGACTAGAACTTACTTGGACTGGTTGTTTTTACAATAGACCCTACTTCTTCTACAGGATTAAATACACCAGAACTAGTCTCACAGTGTACAATACTAACAAGGTTATAAGAGTTATCTTTCTTTAAAAGTTCTTCTACCCTGCCAGCATCAACTGCTTTATCTTCCCTAAAACTTTCTATGTGATGTGGAATGGATAAAGTTTCACAGATTTTACCCATTCTCTTTCCATATGCGCCATTTTCTAAAATTAAGACCTGTAAAGAGACAATTAGAAATGAAATGAAATGGAGTTTAACGTCCTACTGTTCTGCTCCTATACTGAGGGAAATTTTGCCCGGGCAGCGGCACTATCGCCTACTCTTATATCGAATTCCAACTGCTAGGGGATCTTTTACGTGCATTCCAATATATACACGGGACCTCGGTTTTTCGCACCACTGACAAGGGGAAACCACGTGGGAAAATCAGGATGAACTTTATTGGCCAATGCAGGGATCGAACACCCAACCTCCAGGCTAGCGAGCCAGTGTCTTTTAAACCACCTGTCCAACATGGTGGGTTTTCTCCGGGTCCTACGGTTTCCTCCCACTACTAAAGACCCCTATGCGCAAGCGAATTATTAAAATAAAATTAAACCATATTTTAGTCCCGAAATGACCTAGTTTTTGTCGAGTGGACGTTAAACACCATCTCTCTCTCTCTCTCTGTTTCATTCTCGACTAATAACCTCAGTAATAAACGGTAATTGTTTTCTATATGTATTTTGAGATAGAGTTGGCAAATTTAGTATTTTTTAAAACTATTGTAGCTATAAAACGCACATTACAATATTTCATAAAATAAACTCAGTGATGTCAAATATTAAAAACACTCATCAATTATTAATTTTTTTTTCAATAACAAAAGAGACCGACATTGTCAATAAAATGTCATTTAAACTGGCTAATGGATACTAAATTTCAAATAAAACTAATAAAAAAATCGGAATGACAAATGCCTAACCTATTTATGTTAAATGCCTAAATGTCTAACCTATTTATGTTAAACTGAATTTGTTTTTTTTAAAAGAATCATTTAGTTTGTAAAGTAATATCATATTTATATCACAACAAGAATTACCAATGAAAAATAATTAAGTCACCCAACCCATCTTTGAATTTTAATACAGCTAATTAATATGCTGAGAGTAAAATAGATTTTGTAAAAATTATAAATATTACCAGTACTAATTATTGAATAGACATATAAGTTTTAAAATTCTAATAGTTTATTAAGGTCCTGTACTTGGTAGTATTCACGTATAATACCCACTGATTAAATCTCAATAACATCACTTAATGTAAACAAACATTACTTAGGTTGCCAAGTAATATAAGAATTGAACTTATCAATCCTGGTATATTGACAGTGTTATTATTATCCTTTCATTTATATAGTGCTACATTACATATCAAATGTGCCTAAGTGCTTCATAAGACTAATCATAACACTGTCCGAAAAGATGAGTTTTCAGTTTACACTTAAATATATAATATGAATTATATATTGTAACTCCATGCAAAGACTGGAAGTGTTTAGCTATTATCTAAATAAGGGAACAATCCCTGCTCAACATTAGCGCAACAGATTTTATATAGAACAGAGTGGTAATTTAATCATAATATTTCAGATTTCACAAATCACGACCCAGGTCTAATCACCACCAACCCCAATATCAGTTTTTGATCCAACAGCTACACAGATCTACCAGTCTGTCCAAACTCTGCTACTCTTTCAAAGGGGTGTTATCACTCCCTCTTGATTTCTCTCTTTATGTTATATAAATTAAAGGACCTAAGTCCGTAACTCAAAATCCTCCAAAATCTTCGACATCGAAAACACGAATTATTGGTCAATTTAAATCAACATTGATGATGTAAACTTACCGGAAAAAGATGAGCTTCTGATATCCGATATTTAAGATAAAATAATTTTTTTAAAATTGGTACACGAATCGTGTACCATAATGCGCTTCAGCCCCAGTTGTATTGAGAGACTCGAGGGACGAGGCTAGACACATTGCACCAAATCAAATGGTGTTACATGTATGTAGACTAGAATAACTAGACGCTAGAAATTTGCACTCGATTGAGATTGCTGACTTATTTCGCCGAACATAACTGATTTGAAATTGGAGTAAAAACGGAAACCATTAAATGTAAATCAGTTTATATACATTCATATTACAGTATTATATGCATTGCGACCCACTTTTGTGAATTTCTAGGTCCTAAATGTTAGTGATTTAGCTCCTTTAATAACATTATAATATTGCTACTATAAATATAATGCAATAATGTAAATAGATTTATTCTGACCAAGAGCAATTCTTTTTTTTAACATAATGCAATAATGTAAATTGATTTATTGTGACCAAGAATGAGACTTTTAAAAGAAAGATTGACCTTATTATTATTTTGTCTGGGTACAGCACATTGAAATACTGCTTCTACAGCAAAGGTACCACTACCTTGTACAGGTATAGTTGTATAGTCGTTAGCTGAAACACCTGAAGATATAATAAACAATAGGTAGAACTATTTTGTAACAGGTGTATATAGTCCCTTGATGAACTGAGAGAGGGAAATGGGATTTAACATCCACTCAACACAAACTAGGTCATTTCAGGACTAACATATGGTTAATTTTATTTCAATATTTTGCTTGCATGTAGGGGTCTTTAGCAGTGAGAGGAAACTGGAGGACCCGGAGAAAACCCATGAGGTTGGACAGGCGACCCTTTTCCTTGTCACATACAACCGGGGAATCAAAACCACGCCAGCTGACTCAATGACAGACCATATGATTAGTGCTCCTACGGCTAGTCGGATAGCCGTAAACGGTTGGATCTGGACGGTTCAACGGTTTGAATTCAACGGTACGGTTATTCGGTGATGTCCCCCATTACATAGATTATATTCCTCTTTATAACAAAACTTGTCCGTTGTCCTTTTGTATTTGATGTTTTAAAATCTTAGAATGTAATAGTCGTCCTACGATGTCGACTTTAATAGCACTCGTCGTAGTCATACGACAAAGTCAACGGTCCTGGTTCTGACTTTAGCAATTGTTAATCCAATCTAAATACTTCTCGGCATTTCTAACTATATTCTACCTTGTTTAAAATATAATCATAAGGCTAGAAAATGACATTATACTATAGTCGATTTGTTACGACATTCAACAAGTTTCATATCTCGTAATTTCTCGCGAGAATTGTACTTTGGGTTTTAGTTAAATTAACCAATCATAAAAATTATACTTGCAAGCCCGGAATTATTGCTTATTGTCAAATCAATAGACGCCTTCCAATTTACTTTAAATAGTAACATTGTGTAATCGTGATATTATCGCCATACATGTATGTCACGTACGAAGGGAAACAGAGTATTGTTTTGTATATTATCGTAGATATATATTGAATTAAAAAATGATTCAAATGAACCAAGTTAACCAGGTAAACAAATAATAACTACGGCCTTAATTTTCATTAAAGAATTGTACATTTCTATGAAAAAATTTCTGAAATTTTTGCGCGTGTAAACTGTAATGCCTTTTAGCTTTAGGCGAGTATAGCGTGTGCACGAGTAATGACTCGCACCTTCTGACGAGCTCTGTTTTACGTTTAAAATTGATACCAAACGGTTAAACGGTTACTAACCGGTTAATAGCTACGGCTATTCGAATAACAAAAAGTCCTAACCGTAGGAGCACTACTTATGATACAACGTGCATGCGGTAACCATTGGCCATCCAATGGTAACCATTTCATCAATCCCTTGATGAAACACCTGCCAATACATAAAACAAACATATATTGAATCCAACCTTGGAGAGTATCTACTGTGTATATTTTGATTGTGTTTGCTTTATGAAATGTTAAATAAGACATTGTCTCAAAAATGCACAAACGGTACTCTAGGTACAGTACCGAGATATTAACGATTTAATTTTTCGGCTAGCTTCGATCATCATTACTAACGTTACCGGTAGTTCTATAATAAATAAAGTCTTGATTATCCATTTTTACAATAAATTATCTATCACAAAATGTATTCAAATCCACTAAAAATCGCAGTTGATTATGGCCTGGATCAGTTAATTAATGTCTAATTAATAATTTAGGTAACATTTCAGGCCTAAAGAAAGACCTGTGATAGACAGATTTAGCTCTTGAATAATGTATGTTTAAGCCTCTATAAACATATGTTATAAGTTATAAAACATTTCATATACCGGTAACGTAATTTATGATGTGTTAAGTCGAGGCATTTTAATTACCTGCTATATCCAACAGTTTACTTCTGATAAAACTAATTGTTTTTATAAATTCTACGTCCCTCGAACCCACATCTCTAAGCATTGCCTGTTTTACTGTTAAAGACGTTCCTAATGGCCCAGGTGTAAATAATTTCTTTTCTCCTGAAAAAAACACAAAAAACTGGTTTTGTACATAAACATTTCTGATTCAGTATATTTACTGACCACATCAGCAATAAGATATGGCCATACCCATCCAATAATAATTTACTAACAACTTCAGGTTAGGCAGACTTTACATATCACAACATACCAGCATACAAGGTGGCAATGGAATGATGGTGCACAGGATGAGGGCAGAAACTGAAGTGTCGGTCGTACTTGTCTATAGGATATAGCTGATTTAAATGGACACATTGATTCCATACAAGTACATGTATGGCGGAGTGTTAAACTGTGGGCATTAACCTACACCAACTGGGATAATTATACTGGTGCTACGTCCTACTCATATTTCGATTTCTAACTGTCAGGCGATCTTTCGCTAGCAATGGGGAGAGAGAGAGAAATGGGGTTTAACGTCCACTCGACACAAACCAGGTCATTTCGGGACTAACGTATGGTTTAATTTTATTTCAATAATTCGCTTGCGCGTAGGGGTCTTTAGCAGTGGGAGGAAACCGGAGGACCCGGAGAAAACCCACGAGGTTGGACAGGCGACCCTACTCCTTGCCAAGTACAACCGGGGAATCGAAACCACGCCAGTTGACTCAATGACAGACTTTACGATACAGCGCGCATACGCTAACCATTCGGCCATCCACCACCCCCACTAGCAATGGTATACACAGGACCTCAGTTTCTTTTTGGACAATCCAAATGACAAGACACTGTTAGTTGGAAATGAATTGAAATGGGGTTTAACGTTCTACTGTTCTGCTCCTAAACTGGGCCAATGAAGAAAGGCATACGTCATACAGTGTGCTATGAGGGAAATTTTGCCCGGGCAGCGGCACTATGGCCTACTCTTATATCGAATTCCAACTGCCAAGGGATCTTTTACGTGCACGCCAATGTGTACACATGACCTCGGTTTTTAGTCCCATCAAAAGGACTAGACAGCTGTCCTTGTCAGGCCCTCCGTCCTGCATCACTGACAAGGGCAAACCACTCTTAGTTGGTTACTTGCCAAAACCGCTGTCAAAGGGAAAACATGCTTTCACAGTATAGTCATTTCGGTGATCACTCTTCACCTGGTTCCTTTTTATTTAGGGTTTGAGTTTGGGTTAAGAAAAGGATTAGGATCTGGAATTGGAGTCATGTACATCAACTATGAATGCCGTAATTTCCCAAACAAAAATGGTTACCTGTGACTATTTTTAATTTTAAATTATACAAGCAAAATTTGCAATGCACTATTGCAACTCTTGTGGTCAATTGCTCGTGGATTTACATGTATAATATAGAGCGAAGCTCTAAACGATCGCACTCTTTTCCAGTAACCTGGGAGCATAACTAAAACTGTCACCCACAGACTGTTAATTAAAAAAAAATATCCGACCCCAACAGGATACACTGGGCAAAACTGGCAATGAACATGTCTCAACTTACCAAGTCATAGAAATATTTCTATGACTCGTCTAATCTATGTTGTCAATGTAAATAATTCTCACAGTTTTTTTGTTCGTTTTTTAAATAAAATTAATCATACAATTTACATCTAAATTAAAGGACCTAAGTCCGTAACTCAAAATCCTCCAAAATCTTTGACATCGAAAACACGAATTATTGGTCAATTTAAATCAACATTGATGATGTAAACTTACCGGGAAAACATGAACTTCTGATATCCGATATTTAAGATAAAATAATTTTTTTAACATTGGTACATGAATCGTGTACCATAATGCGCTTCAGTGCCAGTTTTATTGAGAGACTCGAGGGACGAGGCTAGACACATTGCACCAAATCAAATGGAGTTATGTAGACTAGAATAACTAGACGCTAGAAATTTGCACTCGATTGAGATTGCTGACTTATTTCGCCGAACATAACTGATTTGAAATTGGAGTAAAAACGGAAACCATTAAATGTAAATCAGTTTATATACATTCATACAGTATTATATGCGTTGCGACCCACTTTTGTGAATTTCTAGGTCCCAAATGTTAGCAATTTAGCTCCTTTAAAATCAATTTGGAGAAACGAAATTATTTAACATTATTTGTATCACTTGAGAAACTTAATTATGAAGGTTTTATATTTGACAACGATCGCATCAACGTCGCTCTAATCAGGCAATGCCTGTTACATATTATAACTTACAAGTATTGTCTGTTGCCACTGTACTATTGTTTTATTCTTACCTGCATCACTGGCAACGTGTCGACACATCTGCGTCTGCATTACATCAAAGATATCACTATTTCCATTTGTATTTTTTAGTGGAGCCCAAAATCTTGAAGTTGAAGTAAAAATCTTCAGTCTATGCATTCTGTATTTTTCTTTGTAATTGGTTTCTTTTCTTATTTAGTAATAATAAATTACTTTGACAGAGAAAAATCCCTTTAGTTCTAATTCAAAAACGAATTTCATGGAAGCCAAATAAAATATGTTACCGGCAGCTGCAGCTTTGCTACAGCTTTGCTGCTTTCTATTCGTCTGCTACTGTGGTAACAAATTTGCTACTTTAATAATCAGATAAACGAATTCTCAAACATACCATGACTTATTCTAAACAAACTGAGATATTTCAGTAACCAAATATCTCTTAGTGTCACAGTTTACTGACGTGGATACTTAGAATTAATTTATTTAAAAATATCATACAATTATATGAATATTTTGTTTTGTTTAATAATAATTTATATTTTTATATTTCATAGCGGAAACGGATATTGTTTATTGCGCGTGCGCATTGATTTGTTTCTGAAGCTGCATGACTTAGCATCGAACAGAACAGCAAAATAGGCTTGAAATAAAAACAAATTTATTGTTTTTACAGTAATATTTGCACAATGAGTTCTATTGGAACAGGAGTAAGTTGGATATTGTCTGTATTTTAAGTCCACTGTCATGTTTAATTTGCGGTGTTGATGCCTGTAGAATCTGTTTTGTTATTTTCATTTTTATTAAACAAACTGTCGATCAAAAAAGCGCTTTTTGAGGAATCCAAGTCTAGTATATTCGATGATTGCATGTATTACAAAATAACGAACACATATTACCACGAAGTTGGGAGTACGAGCAGGGGAACTGCACCACACACAAACAACTACAGTACACGACAAATCTACAGACATTACAGAAATCACAAACAACAAACGAATAATATTATCAATCGTTCAGGTGTCACAAAGTCAAAGTGGATTTTGAATGGATCCAAGGGCTAGCATATAACAAACTAACAATAAGGGAATAGTGCCCCCCCCCCCCCAGTCAAAATTTGCAGTATTAGTATAAGTTGAACTCACCACAGCGAATGTTCACTCAATTGTTGTTCACGCTGAAATGACAAGTTCCCAAGTGATTATGTAGACACGGACCAAATGCATAATCCAGAATAGATTCAATTAGCCAAATAACCATCGCACGTGAAACTTTCTACACAGTTTTCTATCAGCTATTAAAACTGTAAAAAATCTATTGTTAACAATTCTGAAAATTTAACTTGTTAACTTGTTGGTTGTTTCAGCAGCTTTAGAAAATTAGGTTTAGTTCAATTAATATCTTCGAAGCTTTCCGATTAAGCAAAAATAGAATACTAGTAGTATTTTTCTTAAAATTGCTATTATAAGGAACTCAAAACAATGTTGAGTTGCCTAACTCGTATGTTACTAAATTAGATTTGTTGATCTAGCTTTCTGTAAAGTTTGTAGAAAATAGTGTTGATTATCTAGGCCTGGCAATCAGCGAGAGAACGATCGGTAGACAGAGTAGACTGGTTGAGCGGGACTATTTTCAAACCAAGGACACATAACCTATTTTGCACTAAAAAATACCTGAATGTAATGGCCGCTTGTCGTTTACCTTTTCAGTCTATTTTTTATGTTGATGTTTAAAAGCTTACAACATGACCGTTGATTTAGTAACTATAAATATGAGAAACTAAGTTAAGGCTTGTTTTATATATAAATATTGTGGTATAATTGTCGAAATTTGAAGATATTTATTTATGGTGGGGCACCCTACTAGCATGTGTGTCAAACCATACAGAATTTAAAACCTAGAGTAAAGTTGGAAACTATTTACAGGTATAGGTGACCGTTGTCACCAAGCCAAGTCTCAGACTGATGGTAGATATAGCTGTGGATATTTACCATTAATTGCAATAAATGGTGTGTTTAAAATGCTTAGTCATTTGGATGGGACTAAAAATTAAAGATCCTCCAGTCAGTCCAGTGCATAGTATACGATGATCTTTATTATCTCTTTTGGAGCAACACAGTAGTGTCTTAAACCTTTATATTTTTTAATATTTCAGTATGATTTATCAGCGTCTCAGTTTTCACCTGATGGCCGAGTTTTCCAGGTAGAATATGCACAGAAAGCAGTGGAAAATAGTGGGTAGGTTGTAAAAGTACCTGTTTCTCTTATAGCACCGTATGCGACGACAAGGAGTAGGGTTGTCGGTCTAACCGCATGAGTTTCCTCCCACAACTAAAGACCCCTACATGTATGAGCAAGCAAATTATTGAAATAAAATTGAATCATATGTTAGTTCAGAAATGACCTAGTTTGTGTTGAGTGGACATTAAACCCTATTTCTCTTTCTCTGGCTATTGGTATAACTGCGTTTTATTTGTTTTCATCTAGAACTGCTATTGGTATCAGAGGTAAAGATGGTGTTGTATTTGGTGTAGAGAAATTAGTCACATCTAAACTTTATGAAGTTGGTGCCAATAAAAGACTGTTTAATATAGACAGACATATAGGAGCAGTAAGTATCAATATTATTTATCTGCCCACAAAGCACAAAGGGGAAGGGCTAACGTATGTGCTTTAGACCTTAAGGTCTGTAATTGAGTCAAATGATGTGGTTTCGAGTAGAGTAGGGTTTCTTGAATAACTTTCTGGTTTACACAATCTGACTAGCATCTTTTACTCTATAAACCTGAAGCCTGAAGCATACAGTAAGCGAAAAACTTCAGTATTTTGAAATAATGTTTTATGATTAATACTATGGACTTATTCACAAAAACTTAAACATACATTATGCAAGAGATAAATCTGCCTATTGCAGGTCTTTCTTTATGCCTGAAATGTTATCTAAATTATTAATTAGACATTAATTAATTTATCTAGACCATAATCAACGGGTTGAAATACATTTTGTGAAGGATAATTAAACGTAAAAGTGGATAATCGAGACTATGTTTTTTATCGTACCGACTTTAGTAATGATGATCAAGACTAGCCTAATATTCAAACAGTTCAGAGTGGATCAATTTAATTGAAATTTTCAGCATATTCTCTTTACGTTATCTAATTTTTTATCTATTATAGCGAGAACTGTCAACTCTTTATCTAATCCCCTTTAAACTAAAATATATTAAGAATTAAGTATTTTTAGTAAATTTCACTGACCTAGAGTCCAAGAGCTAAAATTTGTCAACCTTTTTGATCTACAGGCAGTAATATGGCTGGATCTTGAGAGTACCTTAATTTTAATTTTTTTGAATGAGGCCCCTGAATATGTAAATAAACGGCAGTACTATATACCGGAAAACACAATTTTATACTGAATACCGGAAAACACCAGAAAACCACTAAATACCGGAAAACACACCAAATACCGGAAAATACCCTAAATAGGTAACCCGGAGACTGGCAGCCTAACTTGGTAACCCGGAGCCTGGTCCTCTGTGTGCCTGAGTTAGGGTTAATTTCCAGTTTATAGTAGAGCCCTTCTCCGGGTTACCTATTTAGGGTGGTTTCCAGTATTTAGTGTGTTTTCCGGTATTTAGTGTTTTTCCAGTGTTTTCCGGTATTCAGTATAACATGGTTTTTTTTCCGGTAGTTTTCCAGTGTTTTCCGGTATATAGTATAGCACGTAAATAAAATAAAATTACCTGTACATATATGAATTCAAAGACATTCGTTATATTTCTGAACATATTCAACTTTTAATAACAGGCGACTGCTGGATTACTAGCAGATTCACGACATTTAGTTGAAATATCCCGAGACGAAGCGTCTAATTACAGATCAAATTTTGGAGCATCTATTCCCCTGAAAGTAAGTAAAGTCTATATTGTTAGATGAATTAATGATTTTTACAAATTTTTAAACAAAGATTTAATATTAAACCAATATGAAAGAAGGTGCACAAGATTAAAAGATACCCGTCTGGTTACAATGTAAGGTCTATATTGTTAGCTAATTTGGAGGGTTGGATGGCTGAATGGTTAGCACGTGTGCGCTGTATGATAAAGTCTGTCATTGAGTCAACTGGCGGGGTTTCGATTCCCCGGTTGTATGTGACAAGGAGTAGGGTCGCCTGTCCAACCTCGTGGGTTTTCTCCGGGTCCTCCGATTTCCTCCCACTGCTAAAGACCCCTACGCGCAAGCGAAGTATAGAAATAAAATTAAAAAACCATATGTTAGTCCCAAAATGACCTAGTTTATGTCGAGTGGACATTAAACCCCATTTCTCCCTCTCTCTCTCTCTCTCTCTCTCTCTCTCTCTCTCTCTATCTATCTGTTAGCTAATTAAATGCTCTAGGTAGATTTGTCTGTCATTTGTACTTTTGAGAAATCAAAATATCAATGACTTATATTCATTCATGGAAAGATTTCATGTGGAGTTGCCTTTGTTGACTCTATTCTCTATATTGTTGCCAGTGGATACTGAATGCTAACAAATTTTTAATTCATCATATCTTTGTAAATACTGCATAGAACAGAACCATTATTGGACTGATTCCTTTTAGAGATTCAGGGGGGTTGGATGGCCGAATAGTTACCATGTGTGCTGTATCATAAGGCCTGTCATTGAGTCAACTGGTGTGGTTTCGATTCCTCGGTTGTACGTGACAAGGAGTAGGGTCGCCTGTCCAACCTCGTGGGTTTTCTCCGGGTCCTGCGGTTTCCTCTCACTGCTAAATACCCCTAGGCGCAAGCGCATTATTGCAGGGTTCCCGCGGTCCTTGAATATCCTTAAATTTAAAATTTCATTTTCAAGGTCTTGAATATCCTTGAATTTCGCGGAAATAGGAAAATATCCTTGAATTTCAGTTGAGATCCTTAATTTTGTTTCAAATGTCTTCAATTCCTTTTAAATATGAGATTATAACGATAGTTGGTAATGTTTTGGTTATTTTTAAGATGAAAAATTGTAACTTTAGGCTAAAAAATGTCCTTGAAAATCCTTGAATTTGACGTAAATTTATCCTTGAATATCCTTGAAAAAATGTTTGACGAAGCCGCGGGAACCCTGTATTGAAATAAAAAAAAATTAAACAATATGTTAGTCCCGAAATGACCTAGTTTGTGTCGAGTGGACATTAAACCCCATTTCTCTCTCTCTCTCTCTCCCCTTTTAGAGATTCAACTTTCACAATATTAAAGTTTGCAAGGGATTTACAGTCCCTGAAATGATGCCTGCAAGGGATTGACAGTCCCTGAAATGATGCCTGCAAGGGATTGACAGTCCCTGAAACAATGTTTGCAAGGGATTGACAGTCCCTGAAACAATGTTTGCAAGGGATTGACAGTCCTTGAAACAATGTTTGCAAGCGATTGACAGTCCCTGAAATGATGTTTGCAAGGGATTGACAGTCCCTGAAATGATGTTTGCAAGGATTAACAGTCCCTGAAATGATGTTGGCAAGTATTGACAGTCCCTGAAATGATGCCTGCAAGGGATTGACAGTCCCTGAAATGATGCCTGCAAGGGATTGACAGTCCCTGAAATGATGTTTACAAGAGATTAACAGTCCCTGAAATGATGTTAAGAGATTTATTAGTTTTAAGTTTACCTTGTTTTGTTTATTTTTTTCAGTACTTGGTAGATCAAGTATCTATGTATGTTCATGCTCACACATTATACAGTTCTGTTCGACCATTTGGTGTTGGAATGATTCTAGGTGCTTACTCAGCTGAAGGTCCAGAATTATATTTAGTAGATCCATCTGGTGTCGCATGGGTTAGTATGATAATAGTCGGTCAAGGGAGATAACTCAACAGAAGTTATATAATTATTGCCGTTAGAAATAAATGTTTTATAAGGCTTTTGAACAAAAAATTCATGTTGAGTGATATGAGAATAGTCTATTTATACTGTGCAGTATCCAAAGCACAGTCCAAAACGATAACACAACAATATCTAGAGACGCTGTTCCTTGGGTTTTCATCCATCCTGCACCACTAATAAGGGGAAACAATTCTGAAAAATCATATGGAGCTATTTCGGCCAACACAGGGTTCAAAACCTAGGATCTCCAGATTAGTGAGCTAGCCTATACATGCCCCAAGTCACAAAACCAGAGAAAATGGTGACAAAAAAATCCTAGATAAAACAGTTGATACAAAAACTTTTCTCCGGGCCCTCCGGTTTCCTCCCAGTGCTAAAGACCCCTATGCGCAAGCGAATTATTGAAATAAAATTAAACCATATGTTAGTCCCGAAATGACCTAGTTTGTGTCAGTGGACGTTAATCCCTATCTCTCTCTCTCTCTGATACAAAAATATTTAAGATATTGTTAAATGATTGTATTATTACAGGGGGGTTGGATGGCTGAATGGTTAGCGTGCGCGCGCTGTATCACAAAGTCTGTCATTGAGTCGACTGGCGTGGTTTCGAATCCCCGGTTGTACGTGGCAAGGAGTAGGGTCGCCTGTCCAACCTCGTGGGTTTTCTCCGGGTCCTCCGGTTTCCTCCCACTGCTAAAGACCCCTACGCGCAAGCGAATTATGGAAATAAAATTAAACCATATGTTAGTCCCGAAATGACCTAGTTTGTGTCGAGTGGACGTTAAACCCCATTTCTCTCTCTCTGTATTATTACAGGGTTACCATGGATGTGCTGCAGGAAAAGCCAAGCAAAATGCAAAAACAGAAATAGAAAAATTAAAGGTAAAAAAATTACATCTCTTACCATTCATCATTGAGGAATATTGAATACAAAAATTACATCTCTTATCATTCATCATTGGGGCATATTGGTGGTGAATTTTGAATCTCGGTACCGAACCTGAATTGATGTCAGGGGCTGCCACCGAATTATCCGTGGCAAGAATTCATCCACAATCAATACAGAGACCACAAATAAAGGGAGTGCTCAAGTTAGACTCCATAATCTGTAATAAAATCTGTTTAGGAATCACTCTGAATATGGCCGGTAATATCTGAATTCCAGTCCTGAATTTTGACTCATAATTTCTGTTCTATGAAAGACCTATTTTATTATGTCTGTTTATTGCCTTGTTGTTTTTTTAGGTGAAAGATATGACAATTAAAGAACTGGTGAAAGAAGTAGCAAAAATGTAAGAAAAATAAAACATTTAATTATTTTATAACAAAACAATTCAGAAATAGTCAATTAATAAACCAATGAACCGGACACTATGGTATCATCAGTCCATCTAATTCCGATTCCATTACAAAGAGCTAATTATTGCTTGTTGTTTTAGCCGCTTGGGATCAATGGTCAGGATTTTCCAGTGTTGTGCAGGATACGTTGTCAGTTTGAATTTGATATAAGAGTAGTACACTGTATGGTGTATGTCTGTCTTCCTTAGCCCAGTCAAAGCATACCAGTAGGACGTTCAACCCCATTTCATTTCATTTGGAATGTGACAAAATAATTGGAATTTGAAAAAGGAAAAAGCTGTAGCTCTGCTGTCCGTGTAAAATTTCTCCCATCGCCTGTCATCATTAGACCAGTCGGAGCAGAACAGTAGGACGTTAAACCCCATTTCATTTGGCTTGTGACACTATAATGGGAGTTAGAAATAAGAGTAGGCTGTAGCGCTGCTGCCTGGGCAAAATTTCCCTCTTAGCACACTGTACATGGCATATGCCCGTCTTCATTAGCCTGGAGGGGGGTTGGATGGCTGAATGGTTAGCGTGCACGCGCTGTACCATAAAGTCTGTCATTGAGTCGACTGGCATGGTTTCGAATCCCCGGTTGTACGTGGCAAGGAGTAGGGTCGCCTGTCCAACCTCGTGGGTTTTCTCTGGGTCCTCCGGTTTCCTCCCACTGCTAAAGACCCCTACGCGCAAGCGAATTATGTAAATAAAATTAAACCATATGTTAGTCCCGAAATGACCTAGTTTGTGTCGAGTGGACGTTAAACCCCATTTCTCTCTCTCTCTCATTAGCCTGGATGGAGTCGAGAGAGATGACATTAAACCCAGTTTCATTTGTATTATTGTATGTTTCAGTATATATGTTGTCCATGATGAAGTAAAAGATAAAGCATTTGAACTAGAATTAAGTTGGGTTGGAGAAAGTAAGTATTAAAAATAATACAAAACACAACTTTATGGATAACTAGCAACTTTAATACGGTTGCCTGTCCAACCTTGGGAGCCACGGTGGCTAGGTGGGTAAGGCGCTGGCTCGCTAGCCTGGAGGTCGGGTGTTCGATCCCTGCATTGGCCGAGAAAATTCATCCCGATTTTCCGACGTGGTTTCCCCTTGTCAGTGATGCAGGACGGAGGGCCTGGCAAGGACAGCTGTCTAGTCCTTCGGATGAGACAAAAAACAAGGTCCCGTGTAAACATTGGAATGCACGTAAAAGATCGCTTGGCAGTTGGAATTCGATATAAGAGTAGGCCATAGTGCCACTGCCCGGGCAAAATTTCCCTAAAAGCACACTGTATGGCGTATGCCAGTCTTCATTAGCCCAGTATAGGAGCAGAACAGTAGGACGTTAAACCCCATTTCATTTCATTTCATTTCTGTCCAACCTTATGTACTGTCACCCACTGCTAAAGACTCTGACGCACAAGCGAATTATTGAAATAAAATTAAACCATATGTTAGTCCGTTGGCGTTAAAACCCTTCTCTCTATGTTCGTGGGTGCAGAATACATTTTTAATTACTGGATTGAGACGACATTTCCTACAACTCATAGGGTTTGAACTATTTACACACTGTAAGTAACAAGGAGTAGGATCGCCCATCCAACCTCGTGGGTTTCTCTGGGTTCTCCAATTTCCTCCTGTTGCTAAAAACCTTAACATTCAACTCATATAATTGAAATAAAGTTGAACCAAATGTTAGTCCCATAATGAAGTAGTTTATGTCTTGTGGTGCATGTTAAATCCCATCTTTAATAGAAGGCTGGATCTCGCTTTAACTAGTACATCTTATCAAGGCCTTCACATTATACCCTACATATTTCAGCACTAATTTCGATTGGATACAAGCCCAACTTGTGAGCCTCTCAGATTTCTCTATCGTTGCGAATACCAAGTCTCACGCTTTCAATCTAAAATGTCTACCTGTGATAATCGAGTTGCAAAGTTCAAGGCTCATTCAATGTCAAACTTTCCATGGAGGTCACGATGTCACAACCTCTGATCGGACGCTACTGCTCACGTGTCTGTAGATAACATAGCTATAAGTTCGGAAATTTCGAAGTAAACAAGCAACGGCCAGATCTTGTGAAACTTGCGGTCGTTGCTTCAGGAACATGGTTAAACCCCATCTCTCGCTCCAACTATCTATGTCTCTCGACAAAATAGTATAGATCCATTTCTTTTCATTTACGCTTGTGCACTGTAAAATATAATTATGATGTGTTTAATTAGACCGTTAGCTCACTATAAAATATAATAATGTTCAGTTTAATTAGACTGTTAGCTCACTATAAAATATAATAATGTTCAGGTTAATTAGACTGTTACCTCACTATAAAATATAATAATGTTCAGTTTAATTAGACTGTTAGCTCACTATAAAATATAGTAATGTTCAGTTTAATTAGACTGTTAGCTCACTATAATTATGGTTCGTTTAATTAGACCGTTAGCTCACTATAATTATGGTTCGTTTAATTAGACTGTTAGCTCACTATAAAATATAGTAATGTTCAGTTTAATTAGACCGTTAGCTCACTATAAAATATAGTAATGTTCAGTTTAATTAGACCGTTAGCTAACTATAAAATATAATAATGTTCAGTTTAATTAGACTGTTAGCTCACTATAAAATATAGTAATGTTCAGTTTAATTAGACCGTTAGCTCACTATAATTATGGTTCGTTTAATTAGACCGTTAGCTCACTGTAAAATATAATAATGTTCAGTTTAATTAGACCGTTAGCTCACTGTAAAATATAATAATGTTCAGTTTAATTAGACCGTTAGCTCACTGTAAAATATAATAATGTTCAGTTTAATTAGACTGTTAGCTCACTATAAAATATAATTATGGGTCGTTTAATTAGACTGTTAGCTCACTGTAAAATATAATAATGTTCAGTTTAATTAGACCGTTAGCTCACTATAATTATGGTCCGTTTAATTAGACTGTTAGCTCACTATAATTATGGTCGGTTTAATTAGACAATTATTAGCTCACTATAATTATGGTCCGTTTAATTAGACTATTATTAGTTCACTATAATTATGGTCCTTTTAATTAGACTGTTAGCTCACTATAATTATGGTCCGTTTAATTAGACTATTATTAGCTCACTATAATTATGGTTCGTTTAATTAGACTGATCCGTTTAGACTGTTAGCTCACTGTAAAATATATTAATATTCAGTTTAATTAGACCGTTAGCTCACTATAATCATGGTCCGTTTAATTAGACTGTTAGCTCACTATAATTATGGTCCATTTAATTAGACTATTATTAGTTCACTATAATTATGGTCCTTTTAATTAGACTGTTAGCTCACTATAATTATGGTCCGTTTAATTACTATTTGTATGTTTTAGTTACTGGTGGTAAACATGAATTGGTACCAAAAGATATTTATGTAGAAGCAGAAAAATATGCAAAGGTTTGTTCTATTCTTGATTTAATGATAGAATTATTCAGAAAAATACCTTAGCGTGCATGTGCTTTATCACAGGGTCTGCCATTGAATGTGGTTTTGATTCCCCGATTCTATGTGACAAGGAGTAGGGTCACCTGTCCAACCTCATGCGTTTTCTCCTTGTCCTCCGATTTCCTTCCACTGCTAAAGACCCCTATGCGCAAGCAAATTATTGAAATAAAATTTACCCATATGTTGGTGACGAAATTACATAGTTTTTATTGAGTTTAGTTAAACCCCATCTCTCTCTCTCTCTCTCTCTCCCTCCCTCCCTCCCGGAACAATGTCTAGGACAAGTTACCTTATGTCCAGGCTTGTATATGTTGTGTGATAATTTGTACTTGATGATGTCTCAGACAGGTGCTTGTTTGTATGATAATGGGGTTCAGTTACGATGCTGCTTGATTCTCGAAATAAAATACGTCTTTGATATTTTTATTGCAGGAAGCGTTAGAAGAGTCTGATGAATCGGATGAAGAAGAATTATAGATCTAGTAAAATATATCTACATCTTTCATTCATACAAAATTGTACATTGTTTTAAACTAAACACTATATTCCACAGTTACTGACGAACTCTAACCAAGGGTACAACTGGGAGAGCTCTTTTCTGCTTTTACCAGGGAATACCATTTTACTTATGTAAGATATTATGTAAATATTGTTTAAGGAATGGAGATGTTTTGAATCCGAGTTCTTATTTCACTCATATTTGCTGGTCTGGACTGACAGGCAGTGAAACTATACATGTCAATTTATACATGTCATAAAATTTGAATTTCACAGAATTATCTTTAAAATGCCATAAATACAGTTAAATTGACAGTTTTTATGTGTAAAAACACTATAAATTTATAATAATTTGGGAGAAATGTCATATAAAGTAAACCAAATATGTCATAATTGACTGACTGGTAAAGTAATGGATTGAAAGCCCTTAATTTAAATTTCAAATTGGAATAGAGCTCTCCCTGTTCTCTGTTTAAACTTACTGGTCTTGCTGGGAATATGAAAGGAGTTGTTATTATTTCATTAAACTTGATAAACGAACGAACAATAAGTTTTATAACTAACTATGGAAGACTTACGATTTTACTACTTTCTTCAAGACAACCAACTTTATGATTATCAGCCAACATACAACTCAGGTTTTGGGAAAATACAGACAGCTAAGGATTATCTAGTGTCATTAATAACTACCATATTGAATATCTTTTCCCCCATTTTTCTTTTCATGCAAAGTATTTTAAATTGTTTATTTTGAGCTTATTTGGTGCAAAAAATCTCAAATGAATTCCATCACCTATTAAACCGGTCTGTAATATAATTTATTGAGATGATTGTCTATTAAATATATCATCTATTATTGGTCATCACATCAGCTTTGTCATGTACCTTCACAATTATTTATCATTAAATGGTTTATAATGAAAGCAACCAATTTGTTATATGTTATGTGGGGGGGAGGTGGATGGTTGAATATTTAGCGTGCGCGCTGTATCAAAAAGTCTGTCATTGAGTCGACTGGCGTGGTTTCAAATCCCCGGTTGTACGTGACAAGGAGTAGGGTCGCCTGTCCATCCTCGTGGGTTTTCTCTGGGTCCTCTGGTTTCCTCCCACTGCTAAAGACCCCTATGCGCAAGCGAATTATTGAAATAAAATTAAACCATATGTTAGTCTTCCCATATCCCAAGGACGAGGGTCGTAGATTTGGTCATTTCGGAGAAGTGTACGATTATGATCCACAGGTTTTTGGCAAGCAATTTACCCAGATACCAAGGAAGAAGGTCCTAGATTTGGCTATTTTAGAGACGTGTACGATTCCGATATCGGCGAGTTTCGAGACAGCAAAAAATTGCCCAGAGCCATAAAATTCATTCGTCTGCCGCTACTACCATCACCACCATATTCACCCTTGGACTTGTTGTGGCGCGTCAGCGGCTCATTCACATCCCAGACTCCAAACTGGACTGATGTAATGGCCATTTATCATAAATATTATACCCGTCAACTATTTCTTCCGATAATTGTTATGCACCCAAGCGATCTCAGCTGCATTTTTTCAACGCTGCAGTTCCTTTCCGACTTTGCAGGGAGGCAGAGATTTCCGACAGTTGTAACTTTCGATGAGCCCCTTTTCTACAAAGCATCTCAAATCGTCGAAATGAGCCCAGACCCGAAGGATGTAGTGGTCATGCTTGGGCCGTTCCACACTTTTGATGAATGTATACGGGGCGATCGGATATTTGATGGACGGTTCGGGACTCAAAGTATCAGATCCGAGAAGGGAAAGCGATCCAACGGACAATCTTGTGTCCATTAATTGTTGGATCGGGCGCTAACTTCGCACTTTATATCACAAGTGGACGATTCTGAAACGAAGCAAATTCTTCTGGATCTCGACACTATCGTGAGTGTGGTGCGATCACACATTCCAACATCGATGTTGACCAGCTTGGATCAAACCCTGCTATGGAAATTCACCGAACTGTCGAACAGCTCTAAGATATGTATACTCTGGCTCAGTTACCGCGAAAAACTCCGAACAGCTCGAGTCCTAGTTGTTTTTCAATGGGAGAACGAGGAAATCGCGGGCTGGTGGTTTAGGATGCGACCTTGCTAATGTCATTGAAGACTTCATACAGTGTGCTATGAGGGAAATTGTGCCCGGACAGCGACACTATGGCTTACTCTTGTATCGAAATCCAATTGCCAAGGATCTTTTACGTGCATGCCAATGTATACACGGCCTCCGGTTTTCGTCCCATCCGAACGACTAGACAGATGTCCTTGTCTTTCCCTCAGTCCTGCACCAATGACAAGGGGAAAATCCCAGTGAACTTTCCCGGTCAATGCAGGGATCGAACACCCAACCCCAAGGCTAGCGAGTCAGCGTCTTACCCACTTAGCCACCGTGACTCCCTCTTACAGTACCCGTGTGAAAAAGGGCAGGGGTGAGAGGGACGAGCGTTAACAGCGCGAAATGTTGATGTGATTCCCGCCATTGTCAGAGGTGCGAAATATTTGGCGAAATGGTCTTTTTCTCAAACTCCCAAAACATAACGTCTCTGGCAATGTATTTAACCCCATATACTCGATGTATGGAAACACCACGTATCGCTTCAAAACTACCGATGGGCTATCTCATTCAATAATTTCAAATATGGATGTAAAACAAGGCTGTGTTCTCAGTCCAACCCTCTTCAATATTTATATTAATGATCTTCACACTTATTTAACCAATTCTGATAACGATGCACCCACTTTAGATAATAATTTCAAATATTTCCCCATCCACAGCAGTGGGGTGAGTGGAACGTTCTAATGACTTCCTTTGAGCACTGGCCTATAACTCTCTTAATTTCTAATTAAGTTGATCCCAAACTGTACTGCACATAGCTTAACATATAATTAACCAATGTCCATTGACATAGAGGTGAATCTTACCACATAAATTCATAAATTTAATAAAAATCCTGTCGTTTTTAAAACTGCCGCCGAACTAGAATTAGAACACGCACGTTATTTCAGGCTACCTCGAAAATATACACTGTTCGGTAGGATAAGATTTAGATTTCAGTGTTCCACACTTCACTATTTGTAACATAATTACTTATTTCCCTATAAACTGTGATGATATGTGTTGAACATTTAGTAATTGAAGCTATTTTTACTTGCGCAAAGGCTCGCAGTGTTTATCAATTGTAGCGGCGAATAAGACAATTATCACCGCTGCAAATATTGTAGCTAAAGTCGACCTACCTTGGATGTATTTGTAATACTATATAGGGCCTATATACTGTAGAGGTTATTTAAGTTCCGTAAAATGTGCTCTGGTTAATGTATTGACGTCGTTAGCTAGAACCAGTGGCAAAGAGAAATAAGCTAACAAGGATATATCTGGTAAATCCTACAGTAAAATCATAGTCTGGTAATCCAAATATGGCAATCCCATGCTTTAGACCACGGCATTTGCTAATCCCTCACATCCCAGTGTAGTAAAGACAAGCAAAACGAAATTTTGAACTATAAAAAAACGAAATAGGATCTGTGTTTTAATCAGATTGTAATATTTATATTCTGTTAAAAAAAGAGATCATAAGAAAACTATGACCACACATCGACTCAGTGGGCATACTTATCACTTGGAAATACAGAGGTACCGATACAAAAAGACCCCTGCTGATCAGCGCTTATGCATATTGTGTGCCATAATCGAAAAGAAGCAACATTTCTGCTAATTTGTAGCGAGTATGAAAAATTACTTAATGCGATATCCTGCATTTTTATTAATCTCTTTGACCCACACAAATCAAGTGACAAGGCAATGGCTGTATTTGGCTTTTGATAAGAAATCTAAATCAAATCCGGTGGTAACTAGGTCGACATGTAGTTGAAACCCTATACAGTAGATACACATGTACTGTTTGTTTTATGAAAATATTACTTGTGTGTACTTGTGTGTGTTATCAATTTCAATAATTCGCTTGCGCGTAGGGGTCTTTAGCAGTGGGAGGACACGGAGAAAACCCACGAGGCTGGACAGGCGACCCTACTCCTTATCAAGCACAACCGGCGAATCGAAATCACGGCAGTTGACTCAATGCCAGACCTTATGATACCTGAAGCCATGACGTAACATAATAATGAACCGTATCGTTCTTCTCTCCCTTAACCCAACCCTATATGGTTACGGAAATCCTAGACCGAACCACGTGATTTACCACACTGTCGGGATGAATCCAGGAAGTTTAATAGATAATATTAGGCTGTAGTCTACCTGTATATTCTGACAATAATCAGCAGTGTGTAACAAATATTAAACAGACCCCATAGACAACCAGGTGTGTCATACCCAACCTTCATACCAGTCACCAGAGGATAAATTAATGGATTAAGATACGGTGAAATGTATTGCATTTTAAAGCAGCTTATATACCCGTCCATTTTGACTAACACGGTAAGTTTAAACCTACCTAAATGTAAAGGGCGTTGACATAATTTAACAGCAGTAGACCTATATTGGATAGATTTTATAAGAAGGATGCCCTTGGATAAGCAACTCGTCGCAGGGGAGTCGGGGCGGAGTACGGGGAGGGGGGGGGGGGGGTCTCTCCGCAAAGACCATTACTCAGAATACCTCAGGGAACATTTAGGCTCCGGACTCCTTGACAAGTGTCCCAGCTATTCCCGCCCATTCTTCCGGGCCCTGATTGTAATTTAGGAATTTGGAAGTTAAATATTGTTTTAATTTCCTGGTTAGGATATGTACTGTGACGGGGGATTTGAGTCAAAAGTCAGTGCTATGTTGTTAGTGTTTGTACATCTCCAATGCTGCAAATTCTGAATGTAACGTGTAAAATGCACCAAGTCAAAGGTAAAAAATCTTGTAATATTGACAAATACAAATTTGTTTTTGGTCTCTGCAAAAAGATTTAGCTCTATTACACCACATCTCGTAAATTGACATCTGGACTTTCGACAAATTACATTAGTTCTACAATTCACTTTGTGATATAACCAAGTAAAAAAAAAATCTTAATTTATACAATATTTCGCTTTCACATTGACACCTAGCACCAACTCTCAGAAAAGCCTGGCGCAATCCATCGGCTGTGTTTTGTCTCGGTACGACGTTATTAAGTCTCCTATGAATTTCATCACAAAGATGTTCAATCGGGTTTAAATCCTGACTAAGGGCTGGCCAGTGCGTAACGTTGACACCGTTCTGCTGCAGAAAGTCCCGAGTAACTCTGGCGGTGTGGGAACGGGCGTTGTCATGCTGGAAAACGTTGTTTCGATGACGTGCGAAATGTGGTATGACGTGGGGTCTAGAAGCTTGATCGATGTAGCGCACTGTGATGCCGCCTCGTCTCCCTGGACCACGATTTTGTAAGACCACAGGGCCCACTCCCTGGTTCAGGCCGATTCCTCCCCAAACCATTATGCTGGACCTCCCCATGAGTCTCATTCCATGACACATTGGTCAGAATAACGCTGGCCACGTCGACGCCATATTCTGGTCCTGCCATCTGCAGTTGATACGCAATACCGACTCTCATCTGTGAACAGAACAGTTCTCCATTGCCTGTGTCGCCAGTTCTGGTGTTGTTGGGCAAACTGTAGACGTTCACGTTGATGGCGAGGGGTGAGGATCGGTCCACGCTAAGGTCTACGGCAATGGATGTTCTCTCTGGTGAGACGTCGGCCCACTGTATCGGTACTGATGGGTCTTCCGTGTGTTCCCACTGTCTGACGTGCTGTCTCAGATGCCTGTGTGAATCGATTCTGCACGTGCTGTCGCACAACATGGCGGTCTTGTCGCCTTTTGGTAACCCTTGGTCTACCAGTTCGGGGTCGATCATCCGTGGTGTTGGTGGTCCGAAAGCGTTGCTGACGCCTGTAGATGGTCCGAACATTGACCTGGAGGTGA